TATCTAAATTGATGCGTTTTCGTCCGGAAAGGCATACTTTCAGATTTGTTTTTGGCCCTCACTTAGACTGAAACACCCGAAAACAAAGCCTTTCGTCAACAGTTACAAAAGTGATCTGTTGTAAAAAAGCATCTTTTTGAAAACCATTTTCTATTGTGAACAAATGGAAACGAGGATTTTGAAAACGTTGACGAAGAAGACTTCAAGTACAGCAGCCTCAGTCTGCGTTTTCGGGTGTTTTGTGTGGATTCAGTATAGACGAAATTGCATGAATATATGCGCGTTTTTAAATGTTAACGTATTAATGTGGGGAGTCTAGAGCAAGATGAAATTGTTAATGTGGTTGATAATATTTTGATTAATTTTGCTTGAGACGGAAATGGACACTTTTGAAGATGCTTTTGTCTGGCCGAACCCTAAGTCGTGCCGCATTTTGCACTGATTACCGGAGTGCCGAGTACATCCATAACCTTAATTGGACATTTAGTATGAGTTATGGAAAATGTTCAACATTGTGTACACCGAAAGCCACCTTGAGCTAACTCACCTGCCTACATGTGGAGATGAAGCTGTTAATTGTAAGCGCAAATTGATGAAGGAATTAAATGAGACTACTGAACTTCAGCCAACACTGGCCAACACCAACAAAATAGTGTAAAGAAAACGGAAAAAAAATCATAAGTAGGTTATTTTCTGGGTATTACCAATAAGGACCTCAACTCAGCAAAATATACGAAGTAAAAACGTAATGGAGTAGATGTTCTTAATAGATACTAATCAAATTTAAATATGCAGCATGATTACTCAGTCTGAAAAGTGTTATCATTTTAGACAAATTAAATGATAAACGTTTGTGTTTCAGAAGGCTGTTTCCATCGCTGACTCTTTTTCCAAGCGGACGTCCATGACAAAAGCAAGATGAATCCAGAAGGACGCCGACAACTAATTTTTCTGTGATAGGAATTAAAGTTCGTTTAGCAATACCACTATTTATTGTCTCCTGCTGCCAAAGCAATGAACACCATGCAGCACGAGTCATATTCCAACGAGACGGAAAATTCCACAAGGCTAACAAGTCTATTTAAAGAGACAAAAAAAGTTGAGGTTGCAGTACTGTTCTCTCTTGCGATGGCCATCGTTGTAATCAACAGCTCAGTGTTTTATCTCTTCTTTAGGAGGAAAACTCTGCGAACCACTTCAAATTATCCACTCTTCAGCTTGGCTGTTTGCGACTTCTTCTGTGGTTTTATAATCATTCCACTTTTCGCATTCCTAGTTTTCACGCCGTTGATACAACCCAGTGGATCGATCAGGTTTTATCTTGGATTTGTTTTGACTGTCCTTCATAACTTTGTGGCCATTGCTACTGTATATCACATCGTTGTTGTGACAGGAGAGCGTTATTTGGCAATCAAGGCTCCATTTAAACATCGAGTACTTCACAAGAAAAGCATTTTGACAGTTTTAATAATTGTTTGGCTTTCCTCGCTTGTTGTATCTTTTCTCCCTTTCACATGGATCAGTAAAATACATCCAGTACTTAAACCAGAATCCTCAAGATACGCACTCTCGTTTTCGATATTCTGTATTGTGTTTGCTTTAATTTTACCTTACATCTTCTTGGTCTATGCATTCATTGATATGTTCAAAGGTATCAATAGAAGATCGAAGAGTCTACATCGGAAAAAGGGTGGCGGGGTGCTTATAATTCGACGTTCAACAAGCTCACGTAACCGTTCAAGTTCTGAAGGCAAGTCTTTGGCACTCTTCGCCATGATGGCGTCTGTATACCTGATATGTTGGTTCCCCTGGTTTGTCTTGTTTTTATTGCACCAGCTTTCGGCCATTGACTCTTCTAAATTGGTTGTACCTTCTCAAGTGTCACTGATCATCAGATATGCGACATCTGTAGCCAATCCATTACTCTACACCTTCATGAAAAGGGACTTCTTTCAGGCTTTTAAGTTTGAATTCAGCAGACACCGAGGGTCAGCAATTCCTCTTACCGATTTACGCGGTCAGCAAACGTCGAGGGAAGTTGGTAGCTCTATCACAGAATGTCGGGAGCATCTTTACGAGAGTGCGTGTTGAATATCTATAAAAGTCTATATCAAGGATCCCTTGAAGTTCCTGGAAATCGTCGTTTCACGTGGAATCAGTAAAGTTTTGTTTTTGACCGGTCATTTGAACAGTTATTTAATTTGGCAACGGTGGATGGCGAAGAAAACTGTATTCATTTCATACAACGCTAAGTGGTATTTCAATTGTTACTTTCATTCCGATCTGCTGGAACTACTGCTACCGTCTTGTAATGTTATGACTGCATCTCGTCGTAAATAAGGCATCAGAAAAAATGCTTCGAGGTCGAGCAGATTTAAAGCGAGAAAGCTTAAAAGATAACGAAAGATCCTAAGGAAAGAAAGACACCAGCAATTACCTCAGGGATATAACTATTGACATACTTGCTTATGATTACATATCTAATCTTCAAGAGTTGGATCGTGGGATTCGCCTTACTACGTTCTCTTCATTTTCACAACTGATAATTCACGCTTTGCCTACTTACCTAAAACAGTGGGAAAACTGAAAAATAATTAGCGAAGGACTGATATGATAGAAATACGACGATATCAAACAGAGATTCAGTCATCTTCTGATGAAGATTTTCCGCAGCAGACTGCCGTGGATCAAGAATCGGTTTTATCGTCGATTCGCCATCTCAAATTGGAGAAACTATGTTAATATGGTGATTAGTGGTAAATGGGAGATTAAGATTTTTCAATCTGAATAAAATTGCATATCATGGGTGTTCGCTTGAAAATTATTCGCCACGACTGAGACGCAAATACAGTTCAGCATTTGGTTCCCTTGGGTTCCTTGAAAAGATATCATCCCACAGCCCAGACCATAACATCGATTTAAAATTAGCAGTTAAATCAAATTTAAAACAAATTTGTTAAATTTTCAACATTGTCAACATAGCATGTTATTTTCAAGGTCCCATTTTTGGGAGCTTTACTCGGGAATCGAGTCAAACATACTTCTAGCCTGCTTGGCGGGGGCTGATTTGTTGACAGGACTGGTTGTTCATCCCTTTGGAATCGCCTCTAACGTTTAGATGGTTTACGGTACTCAAATGGGATATTTAGATTGTTTTCTCATAAACTCTTACTCCAATAGACTCATTCGCGTCAGGTGATGAAAAGGTGATCACTTTGCATAACAAATCTTCAAAAGGAAAATCTAGAATGGCTAATTATAACCACCTGATTTCGTTGATATGATGATTTTAAGTAAAAAATTCAAGTTTTTTTTATTCTTCTATACCATTACCTTATCTCCTTTCATTTCGTGCTCAAACTTATTTACAAACTATGCCATATAGCGAATGGACACGAATCCCTCCATGTGTTGAATTGAACTTATTCTAAGTTGGACCGAGCTAAATTGAAAATAAGAAAGTAGGCCTGCTGATTTAGACGCCGAGCTTAATTTCCTACAGTGAAACTTTCATCTTATGTCAAGTTAGTGCTCAAAATTTACAAACTATGCCATATAGCTTGTAGATGCGGATCCCTTTATGTGTTGAACTGAAATTATTCCAAGTTGGACCGAGCTAAATTAAAAATAAGAGAGTAGGCCCACTGATTTAGACGCCGAGCTGAATTTCCTACAGCGAAACATTTATGTTATTTGTTGGGCTTAAAGGTAGTTCGGCGTTTAAACCAATCCTAATAGTCTTCTTTATTTTGTGTATTTATGGATGTTATTGTGCACTCATTCAAAAGGAAACATGAAAGACAAAAGCTAATCAGGGAACAAAACAAATCTTACTGTAAACTTTGTTTCCAGTGAGGAAATAGCAGAGAATACTTCTTACAGCTTGTATGCTCAAACCCTGAATTTTTGCTTCTCGGAAAAAGTTGCAGACAGCAAAGCACCAAAATGCAAAACTTTAGAGGGACAAAACCGTTTGGAACAATTTATTCACTGTCATAAAATTGATCAGCTTCTCAAAATTTTACTACATGACAGTGAAAAGGACCTTTGACGTTCAATCTTGTCTTCTAAATATTCCAAAATACGTTTTTCGAGGAAAAATTAAAAATTGCAAAGCGTCGAGGAAGAGAGAGAGGGAATGGAAGAGAAACACATATATGTTAGCTTAGGTTGAAAATAGTATAAACACAGTTAGCTACGTTGTCTCAACAGTTTTTCCATGATTTTTTTATTTTAAACAACATTGACACTTTTATTTAAAAAATAGAGGTGGGCTCCAGAAACCGTTTTTACTTCTGTCGTCGCCATTAAGAAATAATCATATAAATCTGATCATATTTTGAGATTTTAAGGTATGACCTCACAAAAGGCATTCTTGACTCAGCCTATTAGTTTTTGCGATAACCGGATTAGCAGTTGTTTGATAAGATATTGTTCTCTCTTCATGCTAAGCGTTGTAATTTCCGCCGTTCACTGGCGTAAATGGCCAGGTTACCAAGTTGTTTTCAAATGGCGGCATCATTGGAACGAGTACTGAGGAGAACAAAGAATTGATGGACAACTCAAAGAATTTCAGAATGAAAAAGGGGTAAAAGAAAGGCAAGTTTTTTCAAGATAGACAAACCCTGCTACATACCATTCAACAGCCCTTATACTTCACAGTGCGATGATAATCTCGCCATGAAAAAATATTGCTTGTACGTGTGATCATTTGGAATAGAGTACTTGGAGGATGGAGGGGAAGGGAAGCAGGGGCAGGAGGGAGACCTGCCAGAAGGGGGGAGGGGAGAGGGGAGATTGTAAGAAAATTGCATTAAGAGGGATAATAAAGAGAGGGTAGGGCTCATTAGAACGTTTATGGTTCAGCGGCATGAAAGCTTTTAGATCTGTAAACGATGCTGGAAACAGTCCAAAGCGCGCATAGATGCATGTTCAGTAACTTATCTATGAAATAACAGGCAAAACAAAGACCACAGAACCAAAGGCGATAAAGGGTACTATTGTTTATTTAAAGCAAATGTTTCATTTGGTCATGTTACATCTCTATCGTCTTAATATTAGAGCCAATATACACAGCATAACCGCCTTGTGTAGTTAGATCTCCTTGTCGTCTTTCCCATCTTTCCAAAGTGCGACTGATACTAAGATAAATAATGAAGAAGGGTTAAGTTAAAAGGCATTATATGATTTCTAAAAGGCTCTTCTAAAACATCTTTTTCCTCCATCGCCTAAGTTATCGTTAAGAAGGACTTACATAAGGCACAATAACGTACGAACCCAAAAGGTATGAAAAAATTTCATAATATCCTAGCATTCTATTGCTTACATTTAACGTTGATAAATTTAACTTGGTTCGAGAAACTCCAATTAAGTCGTGTAAAAGTCAGAAATTAACATTGAACATACCGCAACAAAACCAAAGAAGAAGTTGTCTTCGTAATCACTCTTAAAATACCTCAAGTCGTCTGTGATTTCATGATATATCATAATTAGTTATCCTATTTTGGCGTGTTAAAAATTTCTCAGAAGCTTGCCATACCTGTGATTAAAAAAGCACCTCGTACACGTAGTTATCATAGTCCCTTCCGACTCCGTTCCAGCAATTAGTGGACGGACCGTGTACCTTGTAAGATTCTGTGTCAGACACCCAACACTCGCCGTAAAACTGGATGGCGAAGTATTTCTTGTTTTTCTTTTTGGCAGCTTCGTAACACTTCTCGACTACAAGTGAAATTAGAAGCAAAAAAAAAAATTAGAGCGATGCACGATCAATGATTTACTGACGAAACAGGAAAAAAGACGAGAGAGTAAAATTGCCCCTGCCTTTTAACCCTGTCACTCCCATGATCTCACTAGTAATTCTCCTTAATGTCTACCATACAATTCATATGATGATAGTTCGGAGAATTTGGTATTGAATCAATTAACAAAATAGTTTTCCGTAGTGTCATCACCTGTCTGCTTGATATTGGGGAATTTATGGAAGTCAAAGGGTGAATTGCTATCTTATAACAACATGTGCGTTTGGCTCTAAGTTCTGTCTGTTCATATCTATGCGCTTTCATTTGAAATCTAATAAAGTGAAAATGAAAAAACGAAGTATTTGCAAGATTATGAAAAGTTTCCCATTCCAATAAGGGAAGGGAGCGCTTAAGACTTTTACGTCTGCAGTTTCACTCTCTTAGACTACATCAGGACGATAAGAATCATTATGCGCATGTCTATGACAGTATGCTTCTCTCAAAAGCTGCCAAGATAAACACGAAAATCTTCGCTCTAGTCGTTCTCTCATTACACCATCACAAACACCTTCCCGTACTGACCTGTCATTTTGGGCAAACCACTTTGAATATGACAAACCTGTTTTCTCCAGGTGGAACCAGTCGATTTGTCCCCGAAAATTCTCCAGCATTGTCATGGTGCGACCATCACCAGTGTCTCTCCAACAGCCAAGGTCCCGCCACGGTGCGAAACGATAAACAAAGTTGTGAATTTCATCGCCAACACCTACATCGTCAAATGAAGATCTCTCTTTGAGACTGTTTATTATCTATCGCCGAGGGGGGGTTGGTCAGGGGAGTTTGGTTGTGTTACGATAAAATTTACCTGATCCCCCCTTAAGACTCTAATACTCTTATGATAATATCCCCCCCAAAAAAAAATTGGTAGTCAATTGACAGTACATTCTTTATTGTCCCCCTTTATACTCTGTTAATGACGACTGATCCCCCTAAAAGTCATGTGACCCACCCCACCCTCAAAATAAAGAGTCCTCTGACCCTCCCTACGCGATAAATAGAGTGGTCCCTTCAGAGGTAGTCATCCCCTAACTCGTTGATAAGTCTGGTCAAGCAACACTGGGGACAGATCAAGCTGTTTTGTCGCCGGAGAGGGTATGTGGTAGGTGAAAAACCTGAATGACGACTGTTAAGAAGGCTAAAGGAAGCTCTTTCAAGTGACTGAGCATCCTTGGATTCAACAATACCCATCAGCTCAGACGACATATCGTGACGGAATTGATCAGAGCCTGTGACGCTGATGGAAATGAAAAGATGGCTTTTAGAGAATTAAAGACCTTATCATTCAATTGTGCGAGCAAAGGAACAAAGTACGTATAAATCATATCTTAATAGGTGCTGCGCTGTGTAAGAAGCAAAGTTAGGTTTTGCTCCTTTGACTTATTAATTTTCAGCTGTCTAATCTGTAGCACAGAAAAGTGCTCCGCAAAGAAGCCTTATGAGATTTCCACGTGATCAAAATGAGCAACGTAGGATTTTTGGATCCTTCTTGAAACTCCAAATATGGCAGCGACCTTGAATAACCAAAACAAGAGTAACAACAACAGAGCTTTTTCCAATTGAGTGTCGTAAAACCAAAACCGAAGTAATCACAACGGCCAATCAAGAGAAAGGAAAATACCTTTACGAGCCAATGAGAACCCAAAGAAAAAACAAACGAATTACCTAAAGCGCGGGAAAATGAGAGCGACCGACTCGTGATTGGTTTAAGTGTTGCATTTTTAGGTTTAGAGAGTGGTGCGAGTTTTCTGGACCAATCACAGAGCGAATTGAAGGCAAACAAACAATCCCGGATTACTTTCGACGCTCAAATGAAATTCTTTTAAGGCTTACATGTGGAGACTCCGTCTCCTCTTGATCGTCTCTCGAACTTCATACTCACCGTCAGTACAACCTTTACCGGCACCGTGTTTATCATACGTTGGCCGAGGGCGGTCGTCCCCCCAGCACTCTCCATAAAACTGCACCCCGAAATACCGATAACCAAGCTCGAACGCACGCTCTGCACACCTCGTCACCAGCGATCGTAAGTTGTGCCAATCGATATTTCCTCGGAGGGAGGCATACATGTTGTTTAAGGCCCTATCTTCTTGGGCGTCACGGTAACACCCGACCTCAAGGATTTCTGGAAGGCCTGAGTTTATAGGAACAGAAAAGTTATATGAGGCAGCTATATTGTGTTCATAGAATAGTGTTATTTAGTGCTGACTATAACACGGCGTAATGGTCTGTTAATATTGGCCTCGTGATTAGTTCCTCTTTTCATATGTGAGCATACAGGAGGTTATATGTGTAGTATTGTATAAACTGAATCAGAACTAAGTGCAATAAGTCACAAAATGATCTGCACATAATATATAGGTAAAGAAATAATTGTCGCAGCTGAGATACAAATGGAAATATTGGTTACAAGAAGCTTTAAAAAAAATTCAGCTTTGATCGTCAGGATTGGAACCCGCCTTCCCGGAGGGCGCTAACACTAACTGAGCGACCATTCAACCTGGATACAGAAGACAGGAAGAGCTACCTAGTGGAATGCCTACTTCTAATTACTATTTCTTAAAATATCTATATTTCTCCTTATTTAGACACGTCTTAAGGAGCAATCTCCTTGCTGTGTCCCCCAAAGGAACAAAAATATTTACTTAAGTTATGACGTAGGAGTTTCCTTCACCTTCTTGCAAGCAGCTGACACCGGCATCCCGCTCATGGCCACAACTGTTCTCACCCCACCCCTGATGGGGGCAGTCTGTAAGAGACTTTTCCCTTCCTGTGCACATCATCTTACTCAGCCACACGGGTCCAGTCCCTTGGCCAAACTTTGCTCGCTTTGCCTGTAGGATGAATATTTGTGTTAAGCTATTGCAAACTACACCTAACGAGCTCGGAATCAATTTATTGCAATTGAATTAAGCGTGGAAACGCACCTACGACAAGAGACCTTTGATTTTTCAAAAGGAACCAATCATTTTCCATTGCCTTGGGGGATCAGAGGATTTTTGTTCTGTCGCAGTAAAATTTACGCGATCCCTCCCTATTCTAATTATTCCCCCTCACTGAACGTTAGTTTTCCTTAGTCCTCCATTTAATCTCCGTTATCGATGACTGTTCTACCACCGTTCCCCCCCTGAAAACCATGTGATCCCCCATATTCTTCGATCTCCCCCTCCCTGGCCCCCTCGCAGGCGATGGATAGTGAATGGTAATGATCACTGAAAAAAAATCTTGCCTGATAAATTGCTTTAAGGAAGCCCATCTGCTCACACACTACAGTAGCGTCCTCAAACGACCATTCATCATCACAAATTGTGCCCCAGGTCCCTTGGTGCTGTACTTCCACTCGACCTTGGCCCACGTACGTTGCATCAGGCGGCTGTACAAGCCGAATGACATCTTCTGTGAATAAATTGAGAAAGACGAGTTTTTAAGTATACTTCAAATGTCTTTCCCGGAATCAATTCCTGTAACTAGAGTATGACATATTTATAACCATATTTAGCCTGGTCTGAAATTTTTCGTCAAAAACAGATCGACGGACATGCGGCCAGAAGAAGAAAGGGAAACTGCAAAATTTTTTTTTCAACGCTTTCGACTATCGCTTGTGATAGGCATTAAAAAAAGAAGGTAGAGGAGTTTATGTCCCAGTTTAGTCAAATAAACTCCACCCGATATGACGATCAAGAAAACTAACTGTAAGCTGTTTAAACCGAATTTTTTCAAAACGTGGCAGGCAGTACAATAGGCCGGTAGTAATGTGGGTTTTTGCAGCGTGTTCTCTGAGATAATAAACAGTATGAGAGGCAAACCTTATGCGCCTACTTTTATTCCAGAAATTTTTTTCTCCCCAGTGACCCGTCTTTCCCATTAGGTGTTACCCTCTTTTAACCAATTTCCAACTTTATCAAAATTAAAGAATGTGCAGTAGATTTCAAGATTGGTTATGAACTCAGTTATGGTTAGTTAAGACGGTATTTACGCGAAATTCCGAATTTTCCTGTTTTACAATTCTAAGTACATTCTAATTACATGCCGCTGAAAAGGAGTTTTAACGAAATGAACACTTACCTGAAAGAGCAGCGGGAAAAACGAAGAAAATAAAAATAGCGCAATTCATTTTCAAAGACTATAAGACACAGAATAGAATTGAAGGCGGAAAACAAATTAGGCTAAATTTTTGATGGGTAAATAAAATTCTGTATTTAACTTTTCACACGTCAGTTTGTACAGACATCTGCCTGTGTGAAAACACTATTTAGAATTGAGTGGCACAGAAATGTTGTGTTTGTTTTTCATTAAAAATCGGCTCGTTTATATCATTACTGAATGAAGTTGAATTTTTACTGTAAAAGAAGGAAGAAAGCGTTGCAGTTTATTTGAAATAGTCTTGTTTCCATCCTCATGGGTTTAATTATATATAGCTTAGACTGAGAGTTGCTTAGAAATACGACTGGAATCGATCTTTAAAACTTGAGCCTCTAGATGTCAAATATGTACAGTCGATACATGAAAAGTCTGAATTTGAAGCTCTTAAAACAAACTTGAAGTCTTACAGTACCCTTTTCCGATTTCCGTTTCTAATTTATATAGTTTACAAAGCTCCAATGATTTTCTAAGAAATGTCAAACAAGGAAGACCGAACAAAGACAAAAATTGAAAAAAGTACTTTTGAAAAAGTGATGAATCTGGAGGAATCACAGTGCTTTTATTGATCAATACTTTTGATCCGTTTGGTTTGGTCACCATTTTACTGAACTTGCTTTGTTAAAAGGATTTTTGGTAAAATATGAAATAAAAATCTCGGACTTAAAAAAAACTGTTGTCGATATTTCTCCCGAGCACAAACAAGCTTAAGGTTATTTTAGTGGTAGCATCCCCTGCATAATCTGCTTGTTAGGAGAAGTCATTAAAACGCTTGAATCCTCGACTTTTAGTTTCCTTCATCTATAGCAAAATGTTTATCCACAGACAACAACAATACCCCCGATTATTAAAAAAGAACAATTCATGCTGTGGAGAAAATCAAAGCTTTTTTGTTAAGGGCTTTAAAAACTAACATTTAGAGTCAATAAGGAAATTGTTTATTTGTTTGAATATTTGTCACCTTCTTCTTACAATTCGTTAAATAGCTTGTTAGGTTTTTTCTCCTAAGCTGGCTTTCATTTTGCACTTTCATTCATTTTTTATGAGATAAAACGTTCCAGAAACGGTGAATAACGATATTATGAAGAATGAGGAATAAAAAAATCAAATAAAACCAGAATTTATAAGCGATCTGAAAATTTAAACGCGGAAGACGTGAGTGCTCTTTGCTTTTGGCCTTGAAAGAAGTAAACACAAATACAATTTAACTTTTACGCGAACTAAAAATTGCCTTCTATTATCTCCGGAATCAGAGAAAATTGTTTACTTAATTTGATCTATGTTTGACATGGTGAATTTCTGTCATGCAATTGCTAACATAAGAAAATATGAAAAACTTAATACAATGAGGAAAAAATTAAGCAAATTCTGATCAATCAATCATCGTCAAAGACACTACGCGCATTTGTTTGTTCAGTTTAGGAATAGCGGTCTCGGCGAAACATTACATTTTGTACTGTGTTTTGGAAAATTTCTTGGGTGCACATATACAAAACTATGAAACTCCTTTCAATCTCAATTTTTTTGATGCTGTTTCATGAAGGAATTTCAGGTAAGGACCAACAATCTTGTTCTATCTATCAAAAAACTTTTTTTATTCGTAGTTTGATAGTATAGGCTAAAAGGTTGTAAAAGAAGGTTCAGTTGCGAATTCCTGCTAAACCTTCAATCTAATCTCTTTATCATCTACAAAGACTAAATTTTGTTCTTGACTCGTTCGTGTACGCTATTCGCACGTGACTGCTGATCCATGCTAAAGAAACTGTGGTGCTGCGTCGGTGCGGGAGTATCACAAGATCATTCGGTTTCATCAACTAAGTTGATAATGTAAATTGGCCACTAAAAAGAGCTTCTAAGGTTTATCTTGCGAGCGTAAACCCTTTGTCTTTCACTCAGCCGACAGTGGGCAATTTACATTATCAACTCAGTTGATAAAACCAAATCATCTATTAGACGTATATTTCGGTTGGGTTAACTTCACATTCATGTTTTCACTTTTATCAAGACTGTTTCACCAAAGCACAAAGATTAACGTGGAATCAAAAACGAAAAAAAGATTATAATGCACGCCTGTAATTAACACAATAAGTATTACTTCGATATATAGCGCGAAAACGCAAAAGTTATCTCTTTATCACCAGTGAATTTTTTATGTGTTTCTGATGGGTATATTTGAATTTACTCCAGGTGTAATCCATAGTAAATAAAAATCGAAGGGGCTCATTGCATGGTCTCGTTCAAATCGAAGTCGCAAAATTGAAAGAATCAGTGATAAATATCACCACAATTTGTGTCAGTAGTTACTGACCCTGTTGATGCGAGCCTCGAAACAAACTCAAACATTAAAATAAAAATAATGACATAAAATTCATCTTATTAAATAATCAGTGATGTGTGGGATTTTGTGTTTAAGTATTACTGAATAGTGTTGCAAGGGCTCAGTTTAACTGACCACTGACACTGATTTTGCATTTGGTGTTCCAGACCTGTTTTCCCTGCTCTTGTGAATTTTGTAGTGCCATTCTTACAGAGAGCCCGCGTCTATAAATTTTCAACTAACATCTTTTCAACCTTTTGAATAAAAAAATTATCTTCAGAATTTATTAACATCTCTTTTGTATTTTAAACATTTCTTGTTGCTTTATGCAATAGGTCAGTCCAAAGTGCCTTTTCTTATTGGGATTTTATATATTGATGAGATCGCGAAATGCAAGGGTTAAAACTGACAGGCTTAACAATTGTATGTATCTAACATTATTGCGCTATTCTTTCAGACTACATAGCCGGTCAAGAGGTTTTCTTCAACTCGTTGAAACAGCTAGAGATCGACCGCCAGGAGGCACTGCTTAAGCTACCTTACGGTGAGGCAAAGTAACAGATTTTATATGATCAAAGATATGATGTTTAACTCAGAGTGTGGCTCCTTCAATTGTAGTATTATCTTTCAGCAACTTTGGCCAAATCAAAACTTTAAGGACCTAGACTTAAGTTCATCTCTTTCCCCAAGCTAAAAATGACAAGAAAAGGCGGCACTTACTTTCTGGCGTTTCACACGCCACCGTTTGCGCACCCTTCAGGAAGAACTTGGTAACCTCGACGTGCGGTCAATAACCCTATACCACGATGCAATTTTGACCCTTGCGTCATACGCTTGAGCTGAATCTATCCGCAGCCCTCCTTTCCTTATCTCCCTTCCCAAACCTTCCCATCCATAGCTTGGATGTTTTACAGCACGCAATACTAAAAATCAGATTAGGAAATGGTTGAATAAATAAGGTTTTAGCGGTGGTACCTCTTAGAGCTGACTCATCTATCACTGTCCAAGGACGACTTAAAATTTGGAGTGTTGGTCTTTTGTGGAGGGATAAATACCAAAGAACCTGAAGAAAAAACTCAGTGGAAGGGCGGGGACCAAAGACAAACGCAACCCACCCATAACACCTTAGTGTAATATCATTGAGATAATATTGTGACATCATCATTCATTTCCAATTAGTGTTGATATTCAGTCCAGATAACTCAGCCAATATCCGCCTCTTATTTCAATATAATTACGACATTAGTTCATCTTTACTTATTCTACTCCACTTTACAGCATTTTACCACACTCCACTGCATTTCATCATGATTTCATTTCATCTCAGTACATTCTTTGTCGTTTCGTTTCTTTGCCACGCATCGCTCTACAGTCTGGCTTTAGCGGCCACGTGCTGCCACAGTCAGCTCCATGATGCTCAGTGAAACAGTAAATTCACGGTCTTTCAAAGAGGTGGCGGTCCGTTTGCTTTTGACTCATGAGAAAACAAACCACCTCGAAATAAAAATTAATTCAGTGCGTAGCATTATTGATCTTTTGCGAAAATAGAGGCTTTGTGTGCACATGGGAAAATAGTTATTTAAGATATTCGAATACTTATGGACCGGTCTTTATCTGTCGTCGGGGGAGTCACAGTTAATGTCTTCTGACCCCCTAGGGCTTTGTAATATTCTAATGATCTCCTCTCACTGCCTTCAAATGTTTTATAGTCCCCTTTCATACTCTGTTAGCGAAGACTGATTCACCCTCCGGTCTCCCTCAAAGCACTGTGACCCTCCCCCCCCCCCGCGATAAACAATAATAATTATTCCTCCTAATAATCCATCCGATCTGTTGATAACTAAAAACAACAATGACAGATATTTTTGCCAAAACAGAAGCCATATGTCACTGCAGGCTCGTGTCGGATTGCCATTTGATCTCTATCTTTTCATTTTTTATCCTTCCAGTATTTCCCTTTCGTTTCCTGAATCTGTGTAACTGTTTGTATTCCGTGAGCAATAGTGACATAGAGGATTTTCTTCAGATATGGTCACAAAATTTTGAATTTCTTGATCCTAAGTGTAAGTAAATGAAATACTCAGAGTATTCCACCACGTTAAACGGTGTTTACTAAACAATGGCAACAGATGATACAAAAATGGCCAAAAACAACTGTGAAACGCCTTTGGAAACATACAGGTTTTTGCACTTCGTGTTCATCATCTTTCCTTCAGGACCTAAACGACTTTAAAGAAGAAAAAAACAAGCTTAATTCTTTTTGAAATCTTCATCCATCAGAATAAAGGAGAGACTACTAACATCGTAGTTTCAAGACTGTTGTTTTCATTTAAAAATGAACAGGCTTCCATGTCCAGTATACACTCGGCTTTTTTTACTCGTATGTCGTATGTACATAAATCAAAATTGACTGATAACCTAACGAAATTGTAATAACAATATATTATTTGACTAATTAGTGATTCTTAACTTCGAATTTCTCGTGAAACTTTCGGTATTGTATTTTTCTCAAACATCAGATATTGTATAATGAAATGAAAATAAAACATCTTACAACACGAATAGGTAGTGGTCTGCTGTTAGAGTTTTTTAAAAGCGCCCCTCGCTTTAATTTGCAAAACGTTTTTCTATGATTTCAATGTGGGTGAATAACTCATTTTTACCGTTCTACTTCTTTTTCTTTCTTCTTTCACTCGATGATATTTTAAAAAGGGGCATGTTAATTGTTATTTTCCGCTTAAGTTAAAGGGGCTTTTCTTTTGTCTTAAAATGTCCACCAGTTCCATTTAAGTTCGCAAAGAGAGTTTTTTCTTGCAATATCACAGTTTAGTGTCCCAACACTGAAGATCTTCGTCAAATATACTAAACTCTTCGGTTTCTCTGGATTTAGAGTCTGTTGTCGTGGGACAATCCTCCTTGTTCTGAGCGCCGGGAGTTTCTGCTGACCTATCCGTTGGAATCTCTAGCTCTTCTATCATCTTCGCTTCTTGAACAATCTTTGGAATAACCCTTTCATACGTTTTCAGCTCAAAAACCTCGTTTTTCTTCACAGGGTTGGTGACAAATAGCATGAAAGCACGGCGGAATCGTTCCGTCCGAATGTAATAGATAACAACGTTAACTGCACTTGTTAGGACCAGGAAGAAAAACGCACTAAACACAAGCCAATGCTCAACCGCTTGAAAAGTTGTCAGCAGTAAAACACTTCGTGTTATATCGGGTAAAAAACAAACTGCGTAGCAAAGGATAATATACTGAACTGTTTTCAGCGCTTTCAGATCTTGAAAACGTTTTGTTTCGTACCCTTTCAAGCCCTTCTTAAAGTTAATGTTTTTCTTAATTTCTCTCGAGCTCAGATATAAAACAGTACAAAAAAAAAACAGAAACATTGGTAAAATTATTCTTGGAAATGGCAAAATTCCCCTGTCTTCGTATTGTGAAATGTACTTGGCAATTGGGGCGTCACCTATGTCTTCAAAATCTGTATGAAACAGAATGATTCCCCCGACTATTACTATACCTGTCATCCATTTTAAAGCTATTATCATAAAAAGCTTTTTTCTGCTTTTCCATGAAGTGTACCTCAGACCGTACGCGAGAACGAAATAACGATCAAGAAATATAGTAGAAACTGAGAGCGCATTTTGAAGTAGAAAACCTCTTCGTAAAAACAGACAAACTATCGCCAGAGTCCGACCCGTCAGAAAGGGAGAAGGATATACCTGGTAACAAATAAACATCGGAATGTTAATGACACCGTTGAAAAAATCGACCAGCGCCATCTCGACGACGAGAAAATTAGCGTAGGTGCGCAAGTTTTTGTACTTCCAAACAAGCATACAGATAACAGAGTTACCAAATACGAGGACGAAGAGAAGCGTGGCAAGGAGTGTAGTTTGGATGGTCGACTCGTATCTCTCCGGATCACTGTCCGCCATTCTGTATAGGGAAAATTATTTCCTCGACGACGGACGCTGTAATTCCCTGACGGATTATCTCTCTTGAAAGTCTCCTTCACCGTCAACTCGCCACTTTATGTTCATATATCAGTAGTTACATTATAATATTATCTACCATCGAAGCGTTAATAGGTGCTTAACTTTTGGAAAGTGTGACGCAATGAAGCACAACGAGAGTCACGTGACTTCCGTCGAAAGGAGCCGCCGGCTTTGGTTTGCCGATAGCGGCAGGCATGCCGATTTCAACAGTCTTTACACGTCGGGAAAATATCCTCCAGCTGGAGGGAAAAAAAGTAATTAAAGCGAATTGTTTATTGCAGTGGTTTTTTCAACGAAGGAACTGCCCTTCATGCCAAAAGCGATCGTCTGTGAAATTGCTAATTAACACATTTTCGTGTTTTCTTTAGAAGAAACTACAAAAAAAATATTTTAAAAAACCTGAATAAGGAGCATTTGAAGATCAGACACCATTCGTGTGAGTTATTTGCTTTTCTTGGCCCTTTTGCTCAGTTGTGGCAGACGGCAACAACAATAATAACAATATTCATGATTCTTATATCATCAATGAAAATCATACAAGTTATTCGCTTCCATGAGACCTGTAGCCTGGCATCAGCGGACATGAGAAACATTTAGCTAAATATCAGCTGAGACTAAGCGCGAAAGTGGACATACAGCCATCGCGGATTTGGAGCATAAGCTTTTCATTAGAGCAGACTCTCCAACGTGAGCTATTTGATAGTGATGCGGCGGCTATTTTGGGATGTAATTTATCAGCTTATCATCATCATCAACTTATCACTCATGTTCTTATTCAGGCATCTGCTACACTCATACCTCTATATTTCATTAAAAATTAACAAGAATTTCGAATGCCCTCTGAAAACTGCGATTACTCTTATCGATATTGATATTCAAAACAAAGTGAACTCTATCAGAAATTTTTACTTGTTCACAGATCCTCTGCTGGGGAAAGAAGCACAAAATGACGGGTTAGTCAGGTCAGCGGTTGTACGGTCCAAGAGGGCTATCACGAACGAGAAAAGTACGTATGATGAAATGTTCTCCTTTCTCCATCTCAACTCCTCTACCTTACTTCTTTCCTAAGCAGGATAACTCACACTGCCTCAAACCCATCCCCCTCCCTCGAGAAGTTATGTGCCACTCTATGACACATCAAGAGATAATAATAGCTCCACTATTTTCTCTTGAACACAAACATTCATAGAAAAAAGTGCATGAATGGACTCAGTAATTACTCCGACGAAAAAGGTTCAAAAACCACCCTGGATAGTATCTATCATTTTATATCTCCTTTCTCTGCTGTGAGTTTTTAACCATATTGAGAACAAGCTCGTAATTAAACAGTCTTAATGCAAAAGTCCCTGGTTGAAGAATTTTTTTTTCTCCTTTAGTAATTTAATCGCTTAAATGACTGCAAGGATACTTTCATAATTTCACAGATAAACGATTTTGCGTTTACAGGCAATACCATCCGCTTAAACTTTCCCGACAACCTTCCCAAAGAAAATGGCACAGGTCGAGTGGAAGTTTACCATGACAACCAATGGGGTACGGTGTGCGACAAAGCCTGGGACATCAAAGACGCCTTCGTTGTATGCAATGAACTGGGACTGGTCAAAGCGATCCAAGAGACAAAGAAAGCCAAATATGGTCAAGGTCAAGGTCCCGTATGGCTTAGCAATGTGCAGTGCTCAGGAGGAGAGAGTTCTCTGCTAAGCTGCCCTCACTCTGGGTGGGGAAACGTTGGTAGTTGTACCCATGGTAACGACGCAGGTGTAAAGTGTTTGCAAAAAGGTGAGAAGGAAATGTAGGTAAGCAACGCGTCCATAAAGTAAGCTGAGGGGGTCTTTTCAAGTAACAACCACTCTGGTATGAAAATCTTGTATTAATTTAAGACTTATTTCCAATTTCATGGGTGAATATCGAATGCAGTCAGCAGCTCATTTCTTCCGCTCAGTCAATAGCCAATTGGGAATTTTAAGGATTCTCATCCTCAAAATGAGGCTAGGAGCGAAGTCTTAAATGTTTAAATAAGATTTATTTGCCTGACAATGACAAAGCACTTGCATATCAAAGACTACCCACTTACCCTCGTTCTGACTCTGATTACCCGCTTAGGTTGTAAAAACTTCAGTTGCTACAACCGCAACAGTCCTTCTCGGGACTGGACGAACAGACTACGCAAAGTGTCTCCTTTGTTTATTACTAGACTAACGTAGTATCCTTAAAATCTTATTAACGATTCATATGTACTCACTTTTCAGGTCTTCCGCGTTTGATTGAGGTTGGCTGTTATAAAGACAGTAAAACCAATCGAGCCCTTCGAACTCTGTACGCCTATCTACGAAAGGAAATCGATTGGTATAACATAAGAAACATGGTTACCAAGTGTGCCGAAAAAGCCTGGCAACGAGGATTCCGGTATTAATTCTTCAATTCTGAGAAGTGATTAATGTTAACTTCTCCTTACAATATCAATGCATAAACTAGAAAAACAGTTTACTGGAATAATCAATCAATTCATTTTTGTTATTTTCCGAGCGGGAGGTCCGAATGAGCGGATCCGCCTTGCCACAATGACGCGGAAAAAATTCCGGACCGTGGTTCATTTGTTTAAAAAGCTTGACCGCTTTTGAACGCGTGATTAGCCAATCAGCTTCGTGGATTTAAGATTACGGCCATCCTATGGTTGGTTGGTTGGTTGGTTGGTTCCTAGAGTGATATCATAAGTCAAAGGTTTCCATTTTGATGTCACACCATATCGCCTTAACTGATCAATGGGAGAAATATAAAGCATTTTAAAGGGAGAACGTTCGCTGAGTCACAACAACTTTAATAACATAAAAGTTTACTAACAAGAGTTGATCTTCAACGCGATATCCATTTGAATTCATCTTTGTCACTCCTGTTTTAGTTTGAGTTAAACTTGCATCAAGATTTTTTTTGTTTGTTTGAGAGGAGTGCTTTTTGAAAACGACAGCGAGAATCGTAACTCCTCAGAATGAACCACCGAGAGAGTTACTAATCATCCTAAGTGAGAATCAAACTTACCACGGGATTCTTTTTTCCCACCTCGTACTGAAATGGAAAGTTGCGATGTCCATTTGTGTTCTTGCAGTCGCGCCAGCTTTCGCTTAAACCAGGGCCCTCTCTTACCGTAGTTCATCATCCTCAGCTAACCCTTTAACTCCCACAAGTGATTCACATGTAACTTTTCTCTATGATACCAATACATTACCCAGCAAATAAGTAAAGAGAATACTCAAACTTATCAAGTAGAAGTTGTTATCTTGATCAAATAAAAAATTATCGAAACTGATCACAAGTTTACAAGGTAATATGTAGCAGTTAGAGGCGAGGAGGGCGGTAAAAGTTTAATTTGCCTGCTGCAGCTCGGTTTATTTCTTCAGATATTTTGGAATCCAATTTTACGGAGAATGCTGGAGTGATGAAGAAGCCGAGACACGATACGATATGTATGGGGAGGTTGGACAACTACAGAGCAATCAGAACTGTATTGAAGGTATGCATCCGAAAACATTTTTACGTCAAGGCTCTTTCCACTAAGCTTAGAGGGGTTGTTTGCCTGAGAGCTCCTGCCCCAGAAGAAACATTTAGTCTGGAATAGTTTTATGTCAAAAATGTCTTCATGGACGAATACAGAGTGAACGATTTATCCATGTGGTTAGTGCCACGTTTAACCCTTTATACCCTAACATCAGAATGAAAATTCTCCATACTGTTTTCTATACGTTTCCTTTGGTGCTGATAGGGAGAATTTGTTTAACAATCAAGAGTTTCTTTAGTTGGTGATCATTTACTTTATTCTCCTAACCTTGATCTATGATTCAGGGTTGAAATTGAAGGGGGAAAGTATATCAGCAGCTAGTAACTCTTAGATGTCAAGGTGTTAAGGCCGTGTCTTAAAGCAAAGTTCACAATGGTTCAACACAAGTTCTCTTTTCCACTCATTCAAAGAGTTTTCATTACCAGACACAAGCCAGTGAGGCGTGTAGGGTCATACTAGGGCCTTTTGCGCTTTAACTACCAAAATTTAATTCAAGGTAACAGATTTTTCGACCTCAAAAAATGACTTGAGCTTGAGACTGTGGATTAAGAGCCATTCTGTTAATATACCACCAAATGCGTTCCTTTCCTTCCTACATAATAGCAGCTCGAAGTAAATTTAGTCATCTCCAGGGAGGGTAGGGGATGGGGGGTTTTGATTGTGTCACAATAAAATGTAACCGGTCCTTTAATGAGGCTCTGTAGTATTCTAATGATCTCTCTTCATCGGCAGTCAATTTTGTTTCTATAGTCCATTTTTAAACTCTGTTTGAGACGACTGACTCCCACCTCCGATCCCACTGAAAACCAGTGTGATACCCCGGCCCTAAAAATCTTCCAACCCCCACTCTCCAGACGATGAATAATGACTGGTTCCTAATAGGAGCCTGGAGGAAGTAAACGGAGAGCCATATCGCGAATTAATCACCTCTGAATAATTTTTTTTTCATTTTCATTTTATCTCGTTAAGGCGTTGGGATGCACTGGGCAAATTTTGTGTACAAGTTTGCACCTTGGTCGGACCTGGGATGTTGGAAGGATAATACACGTGACCGAGCAATGGAAAAGTTGCTAGTGAACCTGCGATCCCAGATTGATTGGTTTAACATCGGTAAAACTGGTAAGTATAATAAAATTGTGCAGTTCACGTGGAGTAGTTGATAGTTTTAAATGTTTTTAGTGTCGCACAGTTAAAACCCTAGCAGATACATTTGGGAGTCAACGAATCAGTGTTGTGTGACTGGGTTAGTACAAACTTGCCAGAAATCACCGCCAAGCACAGGACAGTGCAAGAAATACAAGCAATTTCAATGAAAAAATCGGGTTTATTCATGGCGTTACCTTTATATATTTTGTTAAAAAAACCTTAAAGTAAAGTCTGCCTTGCTCTTGCCCCCCCCCCCCCCCCCAGCATTCTTTTAGGTTCTCTGGAGCTCACTAACACTCCTCCTTGGATGGGAAGAGGAACATTGAGGGTTAAGAGTCCATCTTAAGAACACAATATAATAAGAAGACCTTTTGCAAACACAAAAGTCTTCGTATATTCAAACTAAGTTTGCTAGCGGTTGGTTTGGTTTCAGTATACTTTCGACCCGCTCGAGATTAGCTTCCCTCTAATTATAAAAAAGTTATTGATAGCCCCTGGGGCATCGGAGAACGTATAAGTGGCTAAAGAAGAACGTATCAAAAGAGCTAATGACGAAACTACCTCACACGAAGAAATAAGGAATTACAAAATTTCTTCTTCTTCTTTATCAAAGTCGATCTTTGCTACCAGGCCGCAAAGAAAGATGGGAAGAAGTATTTTGCCGTGCAGTTTTACGGCGAATGCTGGGTGGATAAAGATGATACAACTTACACGAAGCATGGATCGAGCACATCCTGCTGGAGTGGAGTGGGAAAACAAAGAACAAACTATGTGTACAGTGTTCTGTGGTAAGAAGGTGAGTGAGACAATGAGATTACCGAAAAGAAACGGAGATGAACGGGAGAGACAATGAGTGAGGCAGAAAGAGCCTGAGGGATACTTAGAACTTTGAACGTTTAATCTAAGTCATGTTCTTCATCCAAGAAAATTTATAGTCTGGACTGTTTCAGGAAAATTTAGATATCCTTCTTTGTATTTTAGAAGAAGGAAACAACGCTGCAGGTGTTCAATATGGGATATCCTTACCACTGTCGTTTCCAGTTTTCAACCCCTTATGCCCCTTCCCACGATGACGCATGTGAGGGCGGGTACAAAGGCGATGATTTTGAATCTCCTTTTAGGAAGAAGGAACGATTTACGATAGTACCATAACCTAGAATACTTCAAAAAAACCACTTAAACGCTGTCAGAGGATCTCTTTTTTATCATGTTCATCCTAAGTGCTGCTCACTCTTTGATCTTTCTATCATAAGGGGGTTTCAATGGGGTTATTGCCTTTACGGTTAACGGTTAGAATTTTAGCCAATTTAAGGCCAACGGTTAATATCTTTCCATTGTTGTTACCAAAGTTATTTTTAAAGTTGACTTTTATTTCAACTAGTGGGCAAGATTTGTCAATTTTTATGCCCAACGACTAAATTTACCTCATTGAGACACTAATAATTGATGAAAAGGACGCCATAAAGTTAGCACTCTGATTATAATAACTTAAGTTCATTAAGAAACCGGTTATCATTTATCGCCTACAAGGCGGAAGGAGGGGGGGGGGGGTTTCAGAGAATTTAAGTTGATTCACAGCAAATTTTCCTGATCTCCCCTTAAGGCTTTGTAACATTTTAATGATCCCTCCTCACGGGCAGTCAATGGTCTATTTTACCCCCCTTTAACTCTCCTTGCGAAGTCTAATCTTTCTTCGGTTCCCTACGAAAACGATTTGACCTCCCCCCCAAAAAAATGTAATGACTAGTCTCCAAAATGCTTAATTTTCTTTCATTGAAACACACTAACCAGTTATTTTCCCTTTTTTTTTTACAATCAGGTCATTTTCACCGATTTCTTCACAAGGAGCGTATCTTTGGCTAGATGAAGCTGTCGCAGACGTTTTCCACAATTTGAATAACAACTAGTTTTGATCAAAACACTGTATAAGAAATAAACACAAGCAAAGTTAACTGTCAGCTTCCTCTTTATTATTATACCTCTCTTTCTCCCTTGAGTAGAGAGACACAAACAGGTCCAAATCCTCCACTTACAACCCATCACATATCATATTTCGTCAGACCCCGCCTCGTTCCCCCTGAAAACCATGTGATCCTCCATAAGTCCTCCGACCCCCCCTACCCCCTACCCCCTACCCCCTAATAATGACTGGATTCTTACTCGACAAATGCCCACAGATTGTTGCCCAGGCCTGGTTATCAATATTTTTTTTTTTAAATTAAATTGACAAAATTTTATTAGTAACGGAAGATTGTGGTCATTTTCTTTCTCCTTTATGTTAATCTCCGAAAAAGGCAAATCTAATTCTTTCTTGTTAACCATTCCTTAGGATTACCTATATCACTACTATTTACAATAGCTAGTGATAAATGGTCTTTAATACTTGGCCAGTAAAGCGAACAGCTTCTACTACAACGCAGAAGTAATCAATTTTTAGGGTTTCTACGTTGTAACGCTCGCGAATTTTCATTTTGACATGACTTGATTACACCGTTCCAAAGCGTTAGAAACCATTTACATTGTCATTCGGGAAATCATTAAAGAAAGATATCGTGTCATGTAAAACAATATCAAGTTATCAAAAATGTCATCAGTTTCCATAAATGTTTCCATGACAACTCAGATCGGAGGCTTTCAATAATCTTGTTATCACCTGATGATATAATGAGGCCAGACAAGACCGAAATAAAAGTGCAGTTTAGAAGGAATATCGAACAGTGTTTAATACAAATTGGGCTATTTCAGATAATTGCCTAAAAACAGAGTTATGAAGCAGTTAACATAAATGTGTAATACATGCTCCTCATAGACTACACCACATCCCTGTATCTACAGCTCTCAGAAAGCCCGCTTGTTTGTTTTCAATCCACAGTCGATCTATTGAGTTGGTCTTTCGCAAAAACCGTTTTCAACTTTTGTTTTCGTTCGACTAGTGATTTCGTCGTCAATGTTATTATTTCTTTCCATAGCACTTTCGTTTCGAAATGTAGAACTTGCACCGAACGTACTTCGGAAACTCGTGCTCCAGAATTGGACCACAGCTTCGCTTAGATTGCTTTGAATTTGCCCGCATTTGCAAGGGAGGACTCGCAAAATTTTGTGTCGAAAATCTCGATTGGAGCTTGAGTAAATGACAGGATTTAGAGCGGAGTTTCCATAATGAAGCAGTTTGATTGCGAAAGTCGCTACCAACGGGACATAAAACTTTAAAAACGTAACCAAGATATTCATGATGAAAAACGGCGCCCAACAGACTATAAACGCACCCATGACAATCGCCAGCGTTTTTGCCGCCTTGATCTCCCGCTTGAAATAGAACGCTTGCCGGAGAGGTTGGATTCGGCGCGCTTGGCGAAGGGCGGCAAGAAATATGCGTGAGTAGGAGTATACCATTATGGAGAGAGGAAGAAGGAAACACACCACAAACACCAGTACAGGGTAGTAAATCCCACCGTGTATGTTGATAGCAGCAATGGTTGCTGAATATGACCACAGGCCAATCAAGGCGATGATCGCGCGGGTTTTGGTGAGGATCTGTGAGTACCTTAGAGGTGAAGTGATAGCTATGTACCTATCACAGCTTATGGCGCACAAGTTCATGATCGAAGCGGTGGAAAACAGGATGTCCAAGCACCTCCAAAACGAGATGAGAATCGGATCGCAGGCCTGCATTATTTTGATACAATCCGTGTTCTGAATAACAAGCCAGATCGGAATTGAAACGGAAGCCACAAGGATGTCCGTGATGGCTAATGACACAATGAATATGTTTGTAACACATCTGAGGTTGGTCGAGTGATAGAATGCAAAGCAAACGAGGGTATTTCCCAACAAGGCGAAAACCACAACAACAGCAAGAGCTACGGTCGAAGCTGTTACGATAGGAGAATTAGATGATACCGACGTCGAATTATTTGCTGTAACTTGAACGGTAGTGAAGAAAAGTAAAGCCAACTTTAGATTCCATCCTCGGTTGGTCCAATACATAATGTATGCTCAAATCTTTTTTTTTTTTTTTTCTACTCCGAGAAGTTTCCCATTTGCAAAATTAGTTTGATACGTCAGTTTATCCTCGTCTTTCAGGAACTTATTTTCAAAATTGTTTTTCACAGCTGTTTCCTAAAGTTCATCTTTTAGACATTGTAGTCTCAAAGCTGTTAAAGCTGTCTTCGGAAAAATTTACCAGCTTTTTTTTCCGAGAGAAAAAAAAATGCTTATTAATAAACAGTAAAGTCGTGGACTCTAATCTATTTCGCTGAATGCGCCAGAATTTGATCTGAAACCTAATCCCCGACTAAAACCACGTCCAAATGTTAAGAGCGGATGTGTTTCGACGCAATCAATTGAAATTAAAGTTTCAATCCTGCAGCTGATTTCGAAGAATTAAAAAACTTCAGTGACAGACACGTTGCGAGCTTTGGCTTAAAAGGACATATTTTCCTTTCTGTAATGAAAGACGTCTTTGTGTTATGAATAATAGGTTTCATAAATTGTTTATTTTTAAAATTTTTTGTTTGTACTTTAGCCATACCAAGTAATACGTATTTCTTGTAATTAGACGTACATTGCGCGAGAATTTAAGAATGACGAATTTGAGTAAAAATAACTAGAAAGCTTTGCTGTCAGTTACATGTTGAATGAAAAGGCTTAAAATCCTTCCTTTCAAGTTTTAGCTTTTAACACCTCTCTCTTCTGAGGTGAAAGAAAAATATTCATTACAATAACGATCTTATAGCTTACCTAAATAAATTGATTTAACTCGACTTCGTTTCCTAATAATTTATCATTCCATATTTTGCAATCAAACGTATTCTGGCTGTTTTTTCACTTTTCGCTCGTGTTTGCTTGCGAAATCCTCATACCTCTATATTTCATTAAAAATTAACAAGAATTTCGAATGCCCTCTGAAAACTGCGATTACTCTTATCGATATTGATATTCAAAACAAAGTGAACTCTATCAGAAATTTTTACTTGTTCACAGATCCTCTGCTGGGGAAAGAAGCTCAAAATGACGGGTTAGTCAGGTCAGCGGTTGTACGGTCCAAGAGGGCTATCACGAACGAGAAAAGTACGTATGATGAAATGTTCTCCTTTCTCCATCTCAACTCCTTTACCTTACTTCTTCCCTAAGCAGGATAACTCACACTGTCTCAAACCCATCCCCCTCCCTCGAGAAGTTATGTGCCACTCTATGACACATCAAGAGATAATAATAGCCCCATTATTTCCTCTTGAACACAAAAATTCATAGAAAAAAGTGCATGAATGGACTCAGTACTTACTCCGACGAAAAAAGTTCAAAAACCACCCTGGATAGTATCTCTATTATTTTATATCTCCTTTCTCTGCAGTGATTTTTTAACCATATTGAGAACAACCTCGTAATTAAACAGTCTTAATGCAAAATTCCCTGGTTGAAGAACATTTTTTTCTCCTTTAGTAATTTAATCGCTTAAATGACTGCAAGGATACTTTCATAATTTCACAGATAAACGATTTTGCGTTTACAGGCAATACCATCCGCTTAAACTTTCCCGACAACCTTCCCAAAGAAAATGGCACAGGACGAGTGGAAGTTTACCGTGACAACCAATGGGGTACGGTGTGCGACAAAGCCTGGGACATCAAAGACGCCTTCGTTGTATGCAATGAACTGGGACTGGTCAAAGCGATCCAAGAGACAAAGAAAGCCAAATATGGTCAAGGTCAAGGTCCCGTATGGCTTAGCAATGTGCAGTGCTCAGGAGGAGAGAGTTCTCTGCTAAGCTGCCCTCACTCTGGGTGGGGAAATGTTGGTAGTTGTACCCATGGTAACGACGCAGGTGTAAAGTGTTTGCAAAAAGGTGAGAAGGAAATGTAGGTAAGCAACGCGTCCATAAAGTAAGCTGAGGGGGTCTTTTCAAGTAAAAACCACTCGCGTATGAAAATCTTGTATTAATTTAAGACTTATTTCCAATGTTCATGGGTGAATACTGAATGCAGTCAGCAGTTCATTTCTTCCGCTCAGTCAATAGCCAATTGGGAATTTTAAGGATTCTCATCCTCAAAATGAGGCCAGGAGCGAAGTCTTAAATGTTTAAATAAGATTTATTTGCCTGACAATGACAAAGCACTTGCATATCAAAGACTATGCACTTACCCTCGTTCTGACTCTGATTCCCCGCTTAGGTTGTAAAAACTTCAGTTGCTACTACCGCAACAGTCCTTCTCGGGACTGGACGAACAGACTACGCAAAATGTCTCCTTTGTTGATTACTAAATTAACGTAGTATCCTTAAAATCTTATTAATGATTCCTTTGTACTCACTTTTCAGGTCTTCCGCGTTTGATTGAGGTTGGCTGTTATAAAGACAGTAAAACCAATCGAGCCCTTCGAACTCTGTACGCCTATCTACGAAAGGAAATCGATTGGTATAACCTAAGAAACATGGTTACCAAGTGTGCCGAAAAAGCCTGGCAACGAGGATTCCGGTATTAATTCTTCAATTCTGAGAAGTGATTAATATTAACTTTTCCTTACAATATCCATGCATAAACTAGAAAAACAGGTTACTGGAATAATCAATCAATTCATTATTGTTATTTTTCGAGTGGGAGGTCCGAATGAGCGGATCCGCCTTGCCACAAATGACGCGGAAAAAATTCCGGACCGTGGTTCATTTGTTTAAAAAGCTTCACCGCTTGTGAACGCGTGATTATCCAATCAGCTTCGTGGATTTAAGATTACGGCCATCCTATGGTTCATAGAGTGATATCATAAGTCAAAGGCTTTCATTTTGATGTCACACTATATCGCCTTAACTGATCAACGGGAGAAATATAAAGCATTTTAAAGGGAGAACGTTGGCTGAGTCACAACAACTTGGTCACAATTATAAAAGTTTAATAACAAGAGTTGATCCTCAACACGATTTCCATTTATATTCATCTTTGTCGCTCCTGTTTTAGTTTGAGTTAAACTTGCATCAAAATTTTTTTTCGTTTGTTTGAGAGGATTGCTTTTTGAAAACGACAGCGAGAATCGTAACTCCTCAGAATGAACAACCGAGAGAGTTACTAATCATCCTAAGTGAGAATCAAGCTTACCACGGGATTCTTTTTCCCCACTTCATACTGAAATGGAAAGTTGCGATGTCCATTTGTGTTCTTGCAGTCGCGCCAGCTTTCGCTTAAACCAGGGCCCCCTCTTACCGTAGTTCATCATCCTCAGTTAAACTTTTAACTCCCACAAGTGATTAACATGTAACGTCTCCCTATGATACCAATACATTACCCAACAAATAAGTAAAGAGAATTTTCAAACCTATCAAGTAGAAGTTGTTATCTTGATCAAATAAAAAGTTATCGAAACTGATCACAAGTTTACAAGGTAATATGTAGCAGTTAGAGGCGAGGAGGGCGGTAAAAGTTTAATTTGCCTGCTGCAGCTCGGTTTATTTCTTCAGATATTTTGGAATCCAATTTTACGGAGAATGCTGGAGTGATGAAGAAGCCGAGACACGATACGATATGCATGGAGAGGTTGGACAACTACAGAGCAAACAGAACTGTATTGAAGGTATGCATCCGAAAACATTTTTACGTCAAGGCTCTTTCCACTAAGCTTAGAGGGGTTGTTTGCCTGAGAGCTCCTGCCCCAGAAGAAACATTTAGTCTGGAATAGTTTTATGTCAAAAATGTCTTCATGGACGAATACAGAGTGAACGATTTATCCATGTGGTTAGTGCCACGTTTAACCCTTTATACCCTAACATCAGAATGAAAATTCTCCATACTGTTTTCTATACGTTTCCTTAGGTGCTGATAGGGAGAATTTGTATAAAAATCAAGAGCTTCTTTAGTTGGTGATCATTTATTTTATTCTCCTAACCTTGATCTATGATTCAGGGTTGAAATTGAAGGGGAAAAGTATATCAGCAGCTAGTAACTCTTAGATGTCAAGGTGTTAAGGCCGTGTCTTAAAGCAAAGTTCACAATGGTTCAACACAAGTTCTCTTTTCCACTCATTCAAAGAGTTTTCATTACCAGACACAAGCCAGTGAGGCGTGTAGGGTCATACTAGGGCCTTTTGCGCTTTAACTACCAAAATTTAATTCAAGGTAACAGATTTTTCGACCTCAAAAAATGACTTGAGCTTGAGACTGTGGATTAAGAGCCATTCTGTTAATATACCACCAAATGCGTTCCTTTCCTTCCTACATGATAGCAGCTCGAAGTAAATTTGGTCATCTCCAGGGAGGGTAGGGGATGGGGGGTTTTGATTGTGTCACAATAAAATGTAACCGGTCCTTTAATGAGGCTCTGTAGTATTCTAATGATCTCTCTTCATCGGCAGTCAATTTTGTTTCTATAGTCCATTTTTAAACTCTGTTTGAGACGACTGACTCCCACCTCCGATCCCACTGAAAACCACTGTGTTACCCCGGCCCTAAAAATCTTCCAACCCCCACTCTCCAGACGATGAATAATGACTGGTTCCTAATAGGAGCCTGGAGGAAGTAAACGGAGAGCCATATCGCGAATTAATCACCTCTGAATAATTTTTTTTTCATTTTCATTTTATCTCGTTAAGGCGTTGGGATGCACTGGGCAAATTTTGTGTACAAGTTTGCACCTTGGTCGGACCTGGGATGTTGGAAGGATAATACACGTGACCGAGCAATGGAAAAGTTGCTAGTGAACCTGCGATCCCAGATTGATTGGTTTAACATCGGTAAAACTGGTAAGTATAATAAAATTGTGCAGTTCACGTGGAGTAGTTGATAGTTTTAAATGTTTTTAGTGTCGCACAGTTAAAACCCTAGCAGATACATTTGGGAGTCAACGAATCAGTGTTGTGTGACTGGGTTAGTACAAACTTGCCAGAAATCACCGCCAAGCACAGGACAGTGCAAGAAATACAAGCAATTTCAATGAAAAAATCGGGTTTATTCATGGCGTTACCTTTATATATTTTGTTAAAAAAACCTTAAAGTAAAGTCTGCCTTGCTCTTGCCCCCCCCCCCCCCCCCCCCCCCCCCCCCCCCCCAGCATTCTTTTAGGTTCTCTGGAGCTCACTAACACTCCTCCTTGGATGGGAAGAGGAACATTGAGGGTTAAGAGTCCATCTTAAGAACACAATATAATAAGAAGACCTTTTGCAAACACAAAAGTCTTCGTATATTCAAACTAAGTTTGCTAGCGGTTGGTTTGGTTTCAGTATACTTTCGACCCGCTCGAGATTAGCTTCCCTCTAATTATAAAAAAGTTATTGATAGCCCCTGGGGCATCGGAGAACGTATAAGTGGCTAAAGAAGAACGTATCAAAAGAGCTAATGACGAAACTACCTCACACGAAGAAATAAGGAATTACCAAATTTCTTCTTCTTCTTTATCAAAGTCGATCTTTGCTACCAGGCCGCAAAGAAAGATGGGAAGAAGTATTTTGCCGTGCAGTTTTACGGCGAATGCTGGGTGGATAAAGATGATACAACTTACACGAAGCATGGATCGAGCACATCCTGCTGGAGTGGAGTGGGAAAACAAAGAACAAACTATGTGTACAGTGTTCTGTGGTAAGAAGGTGAGTGAGACAATGAGATTACCAAAAAGAAACGGAGATGAACGGGAGAGACAATGAGTGTGGCAGAATGAGCCTGATGGATACTTAGAACTTAGAACGTTTAATCTAAGTCATGTCATGTTCTTCATCCAAGAAAATTTATAAACTGGACGGTTTCAGGAAAATTCAGATATCCTTCTTTGTATTTTAGAAGAAGGAAACAACGCTGCAGGTGTTCAATATGGGATATCCTTACCACTGTCGTTTCTTTTTTTTTCTTTTTTTTTGAATTTTTAAATTTTTTTTTATATTTTATTGTGTTTTTCCGTTTTACATTAAAAAAAAAAAAAGAAAATTACAGCAGTATAAAGTAAATAAAATTGTATAAGGTCAGTAAATAAATAAATAAATAAACAAAAATATTAATACAAGGCTACCCAAGGTAAAGTTGTTTCAACTGAGTGATTGTAAAAGTTTTTCCCATTTCATTAAGTGCAAGTTTAGTTTTTTCTTTTCTTTAGCTAGGTATTCTTCTCTTTTATCCTGTTCATCCTAAGTGCTGTTCACTCTTTGATCTTTCTATCATAAGGGGGTTTCAATGGGGTTATTGCCTTTACGGTTAACGGTTAGAATTTTAGCCAATTTAAGGCCAACGGTTAATATCTTTCCATTGTTGTTACCAAAGTTATTTTTAAGGTTGACTTTTATTTCAACTAGTGGGCAAGATTTGTCAATTTTTATGCCCAACGACTAAATTTACCTCATTGAGACACTAATAATTGATGAAAAGGACGCCATAAAGTTAGCACTCTGATTATAATAACTTAAGTTCATTAAGAAACCGGTTATCATTTATCGCCTACAAGGCGGAAGGAGGGGGGGGGGGGTTTCAGAGAATTTTAGTTGATTCACAGCAAATTTTCCTGATCTCCCCTTAAGTCAATTTTTCAATTTACCTCATTGAGACACTAATAATTGATGAAAAAGACATTATAAAGTTAGCACTCTGATTATAATAACTGAAGTTCGTTAAGAAACCGGTTATCATTTATCGCCTACAAGGCGGAAGGAGGGGGGGGGGGTTCAGAGAATTTTAGTTGATTTTTTCCTGATCACCCCTTAAGGCTTTGTAACATTTTAATGATCCCTCCTCACGGGCAGTCAATGGTCTATTTTACCCCCCTTTAACTCTCCTTGCGAAGTCTAATCTTTCTTCGGTTCCCTACGAAAACGATTTGACCTCCCCCCCAAAAAAATGTAATGACTAGTCTCCAAAATGCTTAATTTTCTTTCATTGAAACACACTAACCAGTTATTTTCCCTTTTTTTTTTTACAATCAGGTCATTTTCACCGATTTCTTCACAAGGAGCGTATCTTTGGCTAGATGAAGCTGTCGCAGACGTTTTCCACAATTTGAATAACAACTAGTTTTGATCAAAACACTGTATAAGAAATAAACACAAGCAAAGTTAACTGTCAGCTTCCTCTTTATTATTATACCTCTCTTTCTCCCTTGAGTAGAGAGACACAAACAGGTCCAAATCCTCCACTTACAACCCATCATATATCATATTTCGTCAGACCCCGCCTCGTTCCCCCTGAAAACCATGTGATCCTCCATAAGTCCTCCGACCCCCCTACCCCCTACCCCCTACCCCCTACCCCCTAATAATGACTGGATTCTTACTCGACAAATGCCCACAGATTGTTGCCCAGGCCTGGTTATCAATATTTTTTTTTTTAAATTAAATTGACAAAATTTTATTAGTAACGGAAGATTGTGGTCATTTTCTTTCTCCTTTATGTTAATCTCCGAAAAAGGCAAATCTAATTCTTTCTTGTTAACTATTCCTTAGGATTACCTATATCACTACTATTTACAATAGCTAGTGATAAATGGTCTTTAATACTTGGCCAGTAAAGCGAACAGCTTCTACTACAACGCAGAAGTAATCAATTTTTAGGGTTTCTACGTTGTAACGCTCGCGAATTTTCATTTTGACATGACTTGATTACACCGTTCCAAAGCGTTAGAAACCATTTACATTGTCATTCGGGAAATCATTAAAGAAAGATATCGTGTCATGTAAAACAATATCAAGTTATCAAAAATGTCATCAGTTTCCATAAATGTTTCCATGACAACTCAGATCGGAGGCTTTCAATAATCTTGTTATCACCTGATGATATAATGAGGCCAGACTAGACCGAAATAAAAGTGCAGTTTAGAAGGAATATCGAACAGTGTTTAATACAAATTGGGCTATTTCAGATAATTGCCTAAAAACAGAGTTATGAAGCAGTTAACATAAATGTGTAATACATGCTCCTCATAGACTACACCACATCCCTGTATCTACAGCTCTTAGAAAGCCCGCTTGTTTGTTTTCAATCCACAGTCGATCTATTGAGTTGGTCTTTCGCAAAAACCGTTTTCAACTTTTGTTTTCGTTCGACTAGTGATTTCGTCGTCAATGTTATTATTTCTTTCCATAGCACTTTCGTTTCGAAATGTAGAACTTGCACCGAACGTACTTCGGAAACTCGTGCTCCAGAATTGGACCACAGCTTCGCTTAGATTGCTTTGAATTTGCCCGCATTTGCAAGGGAGGACTCGCAAAATTTTGTGTCGAAAATCTCGATTGGAGCTTGAGTAAATGACAGGATTTAGAGCGGAGTTTCCATAATGAAGCAGTTTGATTGCGAAAGTCGCTACCAACGGGACATAAAACTTTAAAAACGTAACCAAGATATTCACGATGAAAAACGGCGCCCAACAGACTATAAACGCACCCATGACAATCGCCAGCGTTTTTGCCGCCTTGATCTCCCGCTTGAAATAGAATGCTTGCCGGAGAGGTTGGATTCGGCGCGCTTGGCGAAGGGCGGCAAGAAATATGCGTGAGTAGGAGTATACCATTATGGAGAGAGGAAGAAGGAAAGACACCACAAACACCAGTACAGGGTAGTAAATCCCGCCGTGTATGTTGATAGCAGCAATGGTTGCTGAATATGACCACAGGCCAATCAAGGCGATGATCGCGCGGGTTTTGGTGAGGATCTGTGAGTACCTTAGAGGTGAAGTGATAGCTATGTACCTATCACAGCTTATGGCGCACAAGTTCATGATCGAAGCGGTGGAAAACAGGATGTCCAAGCACCTCCAAAACGAGATGAGAATCGGATCGCAGGCCTGCATTGTTTTGATACAATCCGTGTTCTGAATAACAAGCCAGATCGGAATTGAAACGGAAGCCACAAGGATGTCTGTGATGGCTAATGACACAATGAATATGTTTGTAACACATCTGAGGTTGGTCGAGTGATAGAATGCAAAGCAAACGAGGGTATTTCCCAACAAGGCGAAAACCACAACAACAGCAAGAGCTACGGTCGAAGCTGTTACGATAGGAGAATTAGATGATACCGACGTCGAATTATTTGCTGTAACTTGAACGGTAGTGAAGAAAAGTAAAGCCAACTTTAGATTCCATCCTCGGTTGGTCCAATACATAATGTATGCTCAAATCTTTTTTTTTTTTTTTTTCTACTCCGAGAAGTTTCCCATTTGCAAAATTAGTTTGATACGTCAGTTTATCCTCGTCTTTCAGGAACTTATTTTCAAAATTGTTTTTCACAGCTGTTTCCTAAAGTTCATCTTTTAGACATTGTAGTCTCAAAGCTGTTAAAGCTGTCTTCGGAAAAATTTACCAGCTTTTTTTTCCGAGAGAAAAAAAAATGCTTATTAATAAACAGTAAAGTCGTGGACTCTAATCTATTTCGCTGAATGCGCCAGAATTTGATCTGAAACCTAATCCCCGACTAAAACCACGTCCAAATGTTAAGAGCGGATGTGTTTCGACGCAATCAATTGAAATTAAAGTTTCAATCCTGCAGCTGATTTCGAAGAATTAAAAAACTTCAGTGACAGACACGTTGCGAGTTTTGGCTTAAAAGAACATATTTTCCTTTCTGTAATGAAAGACGTCTTTGTGTTATGAATAATAGGTTTCATAAATTGTTTATTTTTAAAATTTTTTGTTTGTACTTTAGCCATACCAAGTAATACGTATTTCTTGTAATAAGACGTACATTGCGCGAGAATTTAAGAATGACGAATTTGAGTAAAAATAACTAGAAAGCTTTGCTGTCAGTTACATGTTGAATGAAAAGGCTTAAAATCCTTCCTTTCAAGTTTTAGCTTTTAACACCTCTCTCTTCTGAGGTGAAAGAAAAATATTCATTACAATAACGATCTTATAGCTTACCTAAATAAATTGATTTAACTCGAATTCGTTTCCTAATAATTTATCATTCCATATTTTGCAACCAAACGTATTCTGGCTGTTTTTTCACTTTTCGCTCGTGTTTGCTTGCGAAATCCTGACAATTTAGTTGTTACAGAGACAAGTTGCATACGAAAATTACTTGAATTAAAACTTGGCTGAGAAACTATTGACTTAAAAGTGATGCATTGAGTGATACAATTCTTATCGCATTTTCAGAGTGACAGTTATTCACGCTATAGTTAAAATTTCAAGATTCTGTGCTTTTAGTATTGCCCGAATAGGGAGGAAATTTGCAAAAATAACGCATTTAAACACCTTAAACAGAAATTCTGCGAGCCGTCATTAAGCCGAAGGGGAAACTGATGAGATTGACACTTTCTCGCCATAGTAAATGAGTTGTTTACCTTTAGAAGGAAGAGATTTCTCCGTCAGGATATTAAATAAAGGCGACAACGCAATTTGGACAAGATATTCTGATGAATTGCAGCCAGTATGCTAATGTAAGATGATGACTAATGATAGATTTGCTTTCCCCACATGGTAAATTCGTAATTTTTCGCTTGAACAGTGATAAAAACAGTTTGCACCTTAAAACTCTGCGATTTCAAAGCTCTGCGTTTCATTCCTACGAAATATAGCTCAAAGAACCACATGCAAACACCCGGTCCGATAATCTTATCTCCAAAACATTTATTAAATATCGCAGGTTTAAAAATCTAGTGTTGTGTCGTGGGTTAACCGGACCGGAATAATTAGATAAAGTTGATGTTACATTTTTCCTATGAATCAGCACAACCTTCTACAAAGCTTTTAAAAAAATATTTATGAGATCATCGGTTGAAGGTGTATGAAACAGAAAAAACAATAGCTCATTGTTTGGCTGTGTGCCTAAATGAAAAATTGCTTCCGTAGTTTGCTTTCCCCCAGTTTTCCTGGTAAATTCGGCGGGCCAGATTTCACAGTGCGACCCGCTAATTCCAAAACTTTGTTTGAATTGAAATTTTCCCCTTCTATTTTAACTGACAGACGCAATGAATATATTACTAACCTCGTTTTCTCGGTATATGCTGTAAGTTGCGGAGCCTCGTTTTTCCTGCTTGGATTAAAGGCTCGCGCTTCCCCCTTAGGTTATAAATCTGATTGGAAAAAAACCTCGGTCTGTAATTTACAGTACGGACTTCAAACTCGGTTAGTAACAAGTATTTTAGCAACCGAAACCGCAGGCTATTCTGTTATCTTTAGCCGGCTGCTTTCACCTCATTTACTATTTGTGTTGGTAAAAAATCGTGCAATTATTGAAATACCATCAAATGATTTGTTCAGCAGCCATGCAGCCATAGCACAATTGAGTAAAATCGACAGAAAATAATGTCCTTCACAAGTGTTTTCTCTTAGTAGGTCTTGGTGGAATGGAATGCGTAGTATTCTAAGAGAAAGTTTAAACGGTAGCGATATATGATTACATCAACTACACCATGTTTGCTGAGTGGCAAAAAATATTTTTTTTTTCATAATGACATAAATAAATGGGAAAAAAAGTGAAGAAGGAAGACTTACTAACAAAGCATGTATTCTACTATCTGCAGCTGTATAATTTAAGAGACGTGTGAAAAATTAGTTCATAAGAACAGTTCAGTTAGATGAATTTCAGTCGAGGAATAACTGCTGTTTACCTTTGTCGACGTCAGAAAATTGTGGGAATAGGAGACTGCTTTGTCCTCACTGTCGAGTGCACATGCGCATTTCTTTTAACGTCGCTTCTAGCATAAAAGTTCCTATTTAAGCGATTAACGCTATTTCATCGACGTAAACGTTACTCAGCACCACCACGGATTTAATCACAATACTCCGTATCGCAAAGACCCAATCAAACTTGATTAACTGGACTGCTACCCATTCTTGCCATAGAAATAAATAGATTCTCCCAGGCCTTTTGGCCAAGCTCTGAATGATTTTTTTTTTCCGGAATGCGCTGAATAAAATTGAATACTGAAGTACATATCGGGCAGAATGCGTGGACATAACATTCCATTAATGATCAGATGGAGACGTGGATCGAAGAAGCTTTCCGCCAAACGTTTTCATTTCCTGACCTTTAATATTGCATTGTAAAACTTGATCATTCAATTAAAATACTTTAAAATCTAAAACAATAATCATCCTTAAGAAGCTTGTTCTCAAGAGACTTCATATCAAATGATTTCTAAAGACCAAGCATTGTTCAGTTGCAAGGTATTTTGCATATTCTTACAGAAAGGATTCCACGCATACAATAAAACGCTTCTCATCGCTGACTTTGGCAACGATTGTTTATTGAGGCTGTTACGAGAACGTCAAGATGGCAAAGTCTTTGGAAAAGGCATGACATTTTTGAAAATCTTAATATTTTCGTGCGTTTGTATCGTTAGAGCTAATTAGAGTTCCACTGGTGCCAACATCACCAGACATAAGCGGATCAGACTTTACCGATAGTGAAACAAACTGTGAGAATTAACTATGGACACCACACATAGCGATACCTTCAACAATAATAATGTTCTTGTGGAGAGAGAAAGCGAGGGAAGATTGAATCTTAAGAAACGTCATGAAAATGACGCTGATGAGGTGAGAGAAAGCTATAGTTTGTATTCGAGCACAAACATTTTTTCCAGTCACAAAATATTTCTTTGTTGTCGTCTTTGCACGAAATCTTCAAGTATCTGATTCTTGCAAAAACTTCTACCAGTGAACCTAAGAGACAATATTTTGGGTTTTTTGAGTTTTCAAGAAAGTTTTTCATCGCTCATTTGAAGGCCTAACATCGCTCAAGGGAGCTACGTTGTAATGTTTCCCTTTGTTAGCAGTGATCTGTGGCTTAATTCAAACAACGGCCGCTCCAAAGCACGCGTTAACGTTTGTATACAGAATCAGTGCTTTGCAATTATTAGGCTGGATACCTAATTCAGAACGGCTGAATCGGATAAGCAACCTCCTCAAAATGACTTTGTCGAAAAAAGCCTTCAAACCAAATTGAAATCTTTCTCCAAAATCGCTGCCGAAAGTAAAACCTTTGAGTTTTAAACTTCTTAGAAATTGTACGTAGACTCAAATAAGCATAACTTATTTGATAATGTCTCTAAGTCTAGGTTAACACTAGAAGAGGTTCTAAAGAATTCATAAATGTTGCCGAATTCGTAAATTTTAGGGTTATTGGATTCGTAGAACGTTAACACCGAAAGGGTGTCCAGATTCCCAGCCGAGTTTACCCGAGAAAATTATTGATTGAATAGTTACGCAGCTGTTCGCTGGAATTTAAAAAATATTCAGAACTTACTATTTGAACAATATGCTTTCTTCCATACAGATTAACGTTTCCCATGACAAACTTAAACTTTTGGATTCTTCATAAAGTCGTCCTGTAATTCCATTAAAACAATCGTCTTTCCATCATAAATATATTGTCAACGGATAACTCTGTTTGAGGATGAATACCGCCTGAATGCCAAATCAAATATGTCATAGAAAATTCTTTTTCCTTTCTTTAGGTTGAAAATCTTGAATTGCGGATCAAAGAGCTCACAGAACAAAATATGAGACTAAGAGATAAAGTGGTAGAGGCACGAGAAACAGGCAAAAGATACCAAGAGGAATTACTTAAAAGCCAAAAGAGATGTACAGAAATTGAGAGCTGGTATAACGGAAATCAGGACAGCATCATATACAAACTTCAGGAGGAAAAGGAGGAGTTGGATAAAGAGGTACAACAGCTAAAGAAAGACCTCCTAAGTCTAAACATACCTAATGGTAACCAGGACGCTGAAACTTCAGAGTTAGGGATGGAACTCTCACGAAACAAACAAGAACTTGAAGTATGTAAGGAGTCTATGATGATGCTGCATGAAGAGAACGAATCGTTAAAACACGATTTACTTATGGTTTCGAATAAAATGGCCACAATACGGGTGAAAACCGAATTTGAAGAAATGCAAAGAAACGAGCACGAAAACTTCTCTCTATTGCATGACCTAGATGCTATCCGTGATCAGCTCCAAATGTACCGCGAAAACTGTACTGGATTAGAAAACGAGGTAAAGATATACAATGAAAAGCTGGATATTTGTAATGAGGAATTAACAGCAACCAGAAAAGAACTAGTGGAGTTGAAAAAAAGCGATGATATTTTACACAATGACAAGGCGAAACTTGAGAAATCCTTATCCGACTCAAGAATGAAGCTGAGCAACTCCGAAGGAGAGCTGAAAGATTTAAAAGCTGAAAACCTTTACTCTAAGCTGCGCATTCAAGAGTTAGAAGACGAGATTCTCCAGCTTTCAAAGAAGACGGACAAGACAGGCCTTGATCTCCTCGAAAATGAAAATTTCAAAGTAGAATCGAAAGCCACACCAAAAGAAATTGATTTTGACCAACATATTCGGGACCTAGAGTCAGGAATATCGTTAATAAGTCAAAGGCTTTCTGAATCTGAGACAGAGCTATGTCGGAGCCAATCGCAGGTGGAAGAGCTAAATCTACAATTGAAGGAATCTCTCGATAAAATAGCAGAACTAGAGTCACGACCCGGAAATGAGGTGAAGGAACACAAACCAGATCCTGATTCCCTTCTCCAACAAGCAAAAAGGCAGACGACTGAGATTCGTTTTACACTTCAGAGAAAAGAAAAAGAAAACAAAGACCTCGAGATGAAGCTTAAGGAAACCCGCGAGGAGATGCACAAAATGGAAATCCATGGAAACGTTTACGAGGCGGAAATATTTCAACTAAGAGAAAACCTTGAGAGGGAAAAAGAGCAATGTTCTATTCTGCACGAGGAGTACCAAGCCTTGCAGCAATGGATTTCAGAGCAAAGAAAAAGTGAAGGGGAACATAAAAAAGAACTTGAAAAGAAGGATTCAATTATTGCTGAGCTTAAAGTCATGGCCGCAGGCATGGAATTGAAATACCACGAACTTAATGAAAAACACGCTGCGATTCAGGAGCTGCAAGAGCGGTACGAAAAAGAAAACCAGGAAATTGAAGATGACCTCTTGCAGACTCAAAAAGACATGGCAGACATGCAAGTGAATTTCAAGCTGTCCGAGAACGAAAAAGAGGATTTGATCCAACAATTTCAAACTGCAAAAAAATCCATCGCTGACCTGCAGTCTAAGGTCGAATTGGCTGAGCAAGGCTTAAAGGAGAAGCAACATGAGCTTGTTTTGACGAAACAACGACTGGCAAGAATGGAAGAGGAGCTAGAAGAGACATCCAAGAATAAATCAGAGCTAGAACTTCAGCTTTACGAAAGTAATACCAATGCCAGGAGGAAAGGTGAAGGGGACATCAATCTAGAGAAACAGTTGGAAGACCTTCAAAGAGAAAACGAAGGACTTCGGTACCAAATTGCGGAAAACGAGCTTTTCGTGGAGGGACTTAAGGATAAAATAAGCTCCTTAGAGACTGATTTGGCCACTCTACGAACTGACATGTCATATACGGACTCCTTACATGACACTGAAGCAGAAGAACTTACGAGACTAACCTTGAAACTGGAAAGCAGCGACGAAGAAATTAGGCGTTTGGCAGAATTGTGTGAAAACACAATTCAAGAGAAAGCCAACCTTGAGATCGACCTGTCGGTGGCCAAAAAGAAAATTGAGACGATGGAATCCTTCATCAGAGAAAAAGAAAACAAAGAAAGCAATCTTGTGAGAACTCTCCAAGAAGATCGTAGCAAATTTCTTTACAAAGAGACAGACGTTGCTTCATATCGCTCAAAAATTGCTTCATTAGAGTTGCAAAATGAGAATCTCTTCAAAGAGAAGGAGGCACTCCGCAGCAAGGTTGAAGCGCTTGAAGAAAAAGCTTCTGCGATTAAACAACAGCTGGAGGAAGTTCTGACCTCAAGAGATCAAACTATCCGACGGCGGATGGAACTAGAAGAAAAAGTTATTGAAATACAACAGGATCTCGATGAATCTGGTAAGACAAAAACACAACGAGAGGAGGAACTTCAGGATTTGTGGAGCAAAATCGTGAAGTACGAAGTTCAGATCGAATCTTTGAAAAGGCAGAATGAAGAACTTCAAGAAAAAACAGTTGAGGCTAATATTCAGGTTGTTAATCAAAGAGAAGAGCTGATGAAATTGGAAATCATAGCAACCGAGCACGAGAGGCTGTTAGAGTCTACAAAATCTAATTTAGAGCAAAAGACAAAAGAGTGTGAAGACTGTCAAGGCACGATGAAAGGTTTGCAAGCCGACTTGAATAAAGTAAAAAACGAACTGATCACAAGCAAAATATCTCACGAATTTGCTTTGGACGAGAATAGCAGGCTTAATAGAAAGATCCAAGAGCAAGAGACGAAACTGGGTCTTTTTGAACAAGACGTTTCTGATGCAAATGAGGAAAACAAGCGCGTGAACATCGATCTGGGATCGCAAACAGCAAAAGCCAACAGTCTTCATCTCCAGTTAGGATCCACTGCTCGTGAAAGAGAGCGTCTTAAAGAAGATTTACAGGCTGCCGAAAGTAAAGTACAGAAACTTCAAGACGAACTTATGTTTGCGAATAACAAAGTTCGAGAAAAGGAAAGAATTGCGGAGAGTTACAGAGTGGAAATGTGCGAGAAAGACAGCCATATTGAACAACTTAAAAACTCAAAGGATTCATTGGAAGAGAAAGTACTCGCACTGAAAAAGGAACTGCAAACCACTGCCTTCTATCACGAATCCAGCGAGTCTAAGTTAAAGAATGCTCAAAATGAAATTTCGTCACTGAAACTTAAGCTGAGCCAGTATGAGGCGACTGTTGATGCTCTTTTGAAAGAACGAGACCATAAAGACAAGGGACACGAGGACACTTCTCAACAGCAGCATTTTGATCTATTGTTGAAGAAGAGCAAAGAACGGCAAGCCATTCTTGAAAAGGAAATAGAAAACAACAAGGCTAAGATTACAAAGCTTGAACAAGACCTTAAAATGTCTCGTCAAGATTGTCTCGACTCTCAATTTGAGAATTCGAAATCCCAACGACTCCTTGAAGACCTTAAGGTAGCACATGACCTGTGTGACAAAGAGAGACGGAATTTACGTGAAGAGGTTTTGGAGGTAAACAGAACGTTATCAGACTTGGAGCTCAAATGCGAGAATGAGCAGAGAGACAACATGGCCTTACAAGCTCAGTTACAAGAGGCGACAAACCGAGGCGAATTAAACCGAAACGAGATTCTAAAGCTAAGCAAGCAGTGTGTAGAACAGAAAATTCAGCTCAATGCCTTAACCAAGGAGAAAGAACAAAAGAATAGCCACATAGATGAAATGAAGTCTGCAAAGGCCCATTTAGAGGAAAAGTCTACAGAGCTAAGACGAAATCTGACCAGCGCACTCGGTGAGTGTGAGAAGCTTCGAGGAGGTCATCAACAGCTTCAAGACGAAATTATTACCCAGCAGAAGATTATCTCAAACCTTAAGGACCGTCTTCAAAAAGTCTCAAATGGTGAACAAATTGCTCATGAGGAACTGAAAGTTAAAACAGCAGAGATACTTTCATTGAATGAAGAGTTAGTGGAATTAGGCAGCGAAAAAGATGATCTTAAGATCAAAGTGAAAAGGCTGGAGAACAATCTTTCAAAGCAGCGTGAGGATCTTTCTATGGCTGAAAATCAGATTGTTGAAATTCAAAGGGTTTTGTCAGAGTACAAGAAAGATTTGGGAGGTAAGGAAACTGCATTAGTAAGTTTGAGAACGGAAAATGGTGCACTGAAAGAGGAACTGGATTTGGCAAAAGATTCACTGAAACGGATGAAAATTGAAATGCAGGCCATTCAGGAAAATCAGGTGATTATTGATCAGTCATCTCCGCTGCAAAGTGGCTTATACTACAACGATGAACCAGAGGATGATATCTCGGAGTTGAGCCGATTAAACGAGAGCTTGAGTGAAGCAGAAGTGAATTTGCAGAGCAGTATTGCAAGAGAACACTCCTTACAAGATCAGGTAGCAAACTTAAAGATAACCCACTCTCAGCTCGAACAAAGTTTGCAAGCCTTGAAAGAGAGAGAAAAGATTCTAATTACAAGGAACGAGGAATTGTTAGATGAAGCCGGCAATGCTAAAACTGAGTGGACAAAATCTCGCGAAGAAGCGAACCAAGCAATCAATAATCTCGAGATGATGCAGGAGAAGCTCGCTCAGCTTGAAGCACAAAATGGACGATTGGAGGCTTCGCGAAGTCTTCTCACAAAAGAGTTACGGGAAGAAAGAGGAAAAGTCGGTAGAGCAGAGGACGAGCTTGTTGAGGCACAATGCAAACTCCAGGAAATGCAAGCTATATGGGACCACAGTGCTAAGGCGGTTGAGGGCAATGAAACCGTTTTGGATACAATTATGTCCGAAAAGAAAGATTTGGAAAAGGACATTCAGACACTGAGAGATGAGCTTTCCTCTACTCACGCCTTAATGAATGCGACTTTAAAGAAGAACAGGGAGCTCGACCATGAAAATTTTCAGTTAAAGAAAACTATAGCAGAATATGAAACAAGAGAAGAAGGCATTGATGAGGAACAAAGAGTGCTCAGTGATAGACTAGCACAGCATCAGAAAGTGATCAAGGAACTTCAACAGCAAGTTCAGCAGAAACAGAAGGACATTGCTACCTTGAGAGAGGAGTTAGAGAATGAACGTCTCAAAGTGGCCGAAGCTAAAGAGGAGTACAACAACGTTTTGAAGAATTTGTCCCAGTTCAAAGGTGGAATCGAAGACTACAAGAAAGCAATGTCGGAAAAGGATGCCCAAGTGTTACTCTTAGAAAATCTGAAAAACACTTTGGAAAGCGAACTGAAGAGTGAAGTTTTGAAAACTAAGGAAACCCGAGAGAGGCTCAAAGAAGGGGAAGAGAAACTCAACGGGATAATCCGAGAGAAGGACAATCGGATCTCCGAGCTTGAGTACAGTATTTTGAAAATCAAGGAGAGAAACAATAAATTGCAGTCTGATGTGGCTGACTTAAAACAAAACGCAAATGAAAAGGAAACCCTCCTCTACAACGCTCAAAAAGAAGTCAAAAGATTGAACAGCGAGTTTCTCTCTCAAGGATCGATTATTGCGGCACTTCAGACTAAAAATACCGCTATTGCAGAGGAAAAACAAAGCCTCAAAAACGAATTGAATGACTTGAAAAGAAATTCTTCAGAACAAAAAGTCCAGTTAGAGGCTTTACGACATGAGAACGAAAGGTTGCAGAGAAAATTAAATGAACTTCAAGTTCCAAAGAGTCCGTCGCTGAAAAAGTCGCAGACACCTAAAAACACAACGGAACCCGATCTGGTCAGCCATAAGAAGTTAATAGAACTTGAAAATGCATGTCAGAATCTTTCGCTTGAAAAAGAGAATATCCAAAATAAGAATACAAGTTTGGAAGAAAAAATCTTACAGCTCGATGAGGAAATGAACTCTTACATTGCAAGTAAGGATTCCTTAGAGAAAGAGATGGTTTGGAAAGATAAACGAATAACTGAGTTGGAACAGTTGTCAAGAAAAGCCGAACACTCCGCCCAACTCGATCGAAATGAACTGCAGATAGTATCTAAGGCCATGAATGAAATGGAAGTGGAGCTAAATTCGACTCAAAACGCTCTGATTGGATTAGAAGAATGTAATTCCACTTACGAAGAGACGATCAAGCATTTAGAAGATCAACTAACTGGGCTACAACAAAAGAACTCTCAGTTGGAAAAATCTCTGGAAAACAGTCAAAGTAAATTAAATTCTCAAAGGAACGAATTAATGGAGGCACTCTCGAGAGTTTCTGATTTGGAGAGCGCAAAAAAATCAAAGGCAAATAGTAATGATGAGCTTCTTAAAGACTTGCAGTCCTGTAAAAACAAAGTCACATCGCTTGAAGAAGAACTGTGTGCTTCCGCTAGAGAACAAGCGAAGGCAAATCTAACAGTCACAGAAATGAAAGAGAAAAACGCAAATCTGCAAAAGGACCTGCAACAAATACAGAGTCAGCTGAGAGAGGAAAAGCACGACCGTGCGACGGATGGTAAGGAAATTCGAGAGAAAAATGAAGTAATAAAGAAACTGCAGAGAGAAAATCGTGAGCTTGAAAACGAAATTATAAAAGCGTCCAAAGAATTGAATGTCAAGGCAGGTGAATGTCTCATTATGATGAACAAGCAGGAAGAAATAGAAGAGGAACTAGGTGCTTTGAGAAAGCAAATACGAGAGCTCGAGTCCAGCCTATTAAAAGAGAAAGGAGAAAATGAGAAGCTGAGGCTGGAGATGTCTGCCACTCGTCAACTCTACAGCGATCTAAAGATTGCCTACGACAACCTTCTTGAAGAAATAAACAGCTCCCAAGAACAAATGGAAGACAAGGAATTCAAAAAATCTGCTGAGCTTAAAAAATCATCAATAGAAAAAGACCAACTGAACAAAGAGATTCAGCTATTAAACAAAAGGGTGGCCATGTTCAAAGAAAACAACGAGAAAATTCAGCAAGAAAAGAGAGAATTGGAAAAGAAGGTAAAGACAATGCAGCAACGACTCTTAATTTTGGAAGCGGACGAAAAGACTGTTGATACCATAAAAGCGCTGCAAATAGAGCTCGAGGAAAGTAAACAAAAGATTGATGACCTGAACGCGATGTACGGGGCCGTGAGGCTGGAGCGAGACAACCTTCGTGCAGAGAATATAAAGCCAACCTCACCGAGAGGGTTTGCAAGATACCAGCCAAAAACAAGGGAAACCAGTGCTTATTTAGAAAGTTTGACAAAAAAGACTAAACTTCATGAGCAGGTAACCGCTAAAAAGGACATGCTAGAGGCGCAAGCAAAAGCAATGTTACTTGATGAGAAACTGAGAGAAGCACGGGAGCGGCTCGAAGGATTAAAAACTCTTCCGCCAAAGAGTGACGAGAGCATGTCTGAGAGCACAGAGAGTGGCTCTGACGAACCCTCTGAGGAAGATGAAACACAAAAAACAGGGCAATGCAGTTCTGTTGTGGATGGCTCTTCACAGGAGTCAGACTCATAAAGGATAACTGTAGGTTTTAATCCGTCAAAAATGTCATTAGTCCCATCTATTTTTGGACTAACCCCTTTGTTAAACAACTTGAGTTTACCAAAGGAATGTTGGCCTTGAAAACCTTGACTAAGTTTAACTCCGAGCGAAATGGCGAGCTACAATAATTTAGTAGTTCAAGGCCTTTTCACGACTGTAGTGTGATATTACTTTGTCGCAGCATTGCTCCAAAAAGATTGATTCGTTTCTAATTATTAGTTTAAGACTCATCAAAAAAAAAAAAAGCCCAAGCGAATGAAGAATCCCTTCTCTGAGCTCATACTAAGTAACAAACGAGGCTAGGTGTGTGTTGAAATCCAAAATCTTTAGCACAGGAAATGTTTCCAGGTTGTTAATTTACAAGAAATTCAACGAGTACTGAACAAATAGTGGTCGCACCGAGACATCTTTGAGTGATTTACCAATGCTTAGCTTCCCACACCGAGAAATGAATAGCTTGTTTTCTGGCCTTTTTAGATTCATTAGACTTGTATGTACTATTGAAACGCTCAAGCTGCATTTGCATGCAATTAATTAGGTTATCTCGTGTTCAGCGAATCTCATGCGAAGTCATAGTGTGTTGAATAAGTATTTTATACAGTTTAATTTCTTTTAAACGCTTTTGCTTTGTCTAAGCCTGCGCTCCCCTCACAAGTGTGTAAAAACTTTAACTTGGTACCAGTTGATAAGGTAAATAAAGACTTACACAATTTTACAAAACTGTTTAAAACTATATGTGTATCTGGAAATGTTGGGCCTTTGAAAGCATTATACATGCCTGTGAAAGTGTGAAAAACCGGAGAGTTCTTTAGTGTGCAGTTTGCTTGTGACTGTTGAGTGGTTTAAATCTAGGAGACCCTATTTTTCATAAGATACACGTTAACAGTAAGCCTCTAATTGTGGACTATTTGAAGACAAATACCACCTGTGATACATAATGCTAACTCCTTGATATTTAAGGTACATTTTGATATGATTAGTTCTTAAAAATACTTTTTTTGTTTTGACCTTTTTTAACTTCGGTTTTTTGTCTTTTTTTTACGGGATAGAAGGGCTCTCAAGAACGGTGAAATGTAAATCAATCGTACTTTCAATAGGAAAAGAGTCAGATTTACAGAATATGACCTGGAGATTAATTTTTTTTATCCATAACACCCCTACTACTCGGTCTTTCTTAATGCACCTCATGGCAGGTGGAATGATCTTTTCTCTGGTAGTTTCCAGTTCACGCCTCCATAATGAAAAGTCAACTTCGCCTTTTAAAAAATTGGTTTTCACAACAGATGAGACGGCCATTTTTGCTGAATAATTCTCCCCGATGAACACGACTTCTTGAGTAAGAAATGTGTTCTTTTTTATACCTAAAATTGAGGTAAAAGTTAAATCTTTACCAATACCTGTTGTGTGGTCCTTTACGCTCTGAGGCAAAACCAATCATGTTGCTTTAAAAGGTCGAGTTCTGTCTGATCACTAAAACTACATAAAACATTTCGGAACTGATTAAACTGATAGATTGCTCGTCATGATGAAATAGGAGATTGGGCAAACGATATGTAAACAGCGTTTGGAAATGTGTGGGTCAGTATGACGCTGACATGATTGCATAGCCTCTCTTCCACGTTTGTTGTAAAGAGGCATTCGGATCAGCTGATTTTTCAATATTGCTTAGCTTAAGAGTTAAAGTTTGTAATTTTTTAACCTGTGATTCAGTATACATCCGTATTAGTGATAGCCTTGTCTGAGTCAGTTAGATGGAGTTTGCGTGGAAATAGCGGCGATTGCCCGACATTGAAGTAAACTCGAACTGAAAGTGAAATTGAGTGTTGAACAATCTGAACACGTTCCTTGGACCAATTTGTTTAAATCTATGTAAATTGAACAAGACCAGGTAAAACCGCCTGGTACTCCCATTTTTTCAATCACTTTGGATTTACTTTTGACTGGGAGAGAATTTAGGATGACGAAATGCGTTTTCACAGGACTGTCACCCTTATTCCGGGCGTCAACTTCCGCCATCTCACCGTTGTTATGGTTTTGATGGATCCTATTCTGAACACGGACCGGACAGAAAATAATGATAACAAGTCTTACCTTCTGTGAGAATGATAACAACAGCGGCCAAGAAAGTATTGAAGGATGAAATGAAACTTGCTCATGACTGAAAGTACTGTTTTGTGCCAAGACTTCTGAATCGAAAGACTGTTTTAATCAACAACTATAATTTGGTGTCATAAAATCATATGTCTGGCATTGTCACCCTCTAGTTAACAAATAAAGCAGCCTTGACGGTACTCTGGAAGAAAGCAAAGGCTGAGATTTTAACACTCAACGGTAAGTTTGTTTTGACTCGTTACTTTTGAATCAACTCTCAATTACCAGGAATTTACTCCAGTTTATGACAACGAAAGTTATAAAATCTTGTCCAAGTGACTACCGTATTTCAAGAATGGACCCTTGCTTGGAGTTTAGTAAACATCGTTTTTGATGAAAATAATCTATTGTAAATCAAACAACTAAAACTTTGTCGCTGGCCGAATATCGTTGTCAACAAGTCAGATGCGATGAATCACCTTCACTTTATTTTCAGACAACGAAGGGATTCAGGCTGCAAAAGATCTGGAGTGGTCTCGAGAAAACTTACCGACCGCTGAAGTCGAAGAGATTGAGGAACCCGAGAATATTTTACCGCCAAGGAAGAAAAAATGACAAAGGGTGAGCAAACATATTTTTCTTTAATTCTTTTCCGACGACGTATTAAGTATCAACTTTAAATCGTGCATTTGCAACGTAGCACAATTTTAGCGCACTTATCGTATCATTTTCATCACTCATATGAAGTTAGCAATGTCGCCGTGGTAACCGTGTTACATGCAACACTTAAAGATAAGACTCGTATGTCATGTGTCATCCTATGTATGTTGTTTGATTACAAGCAGCTCATTGCTTTTTCATTACTTGTTAGGCGACGAAAGAAAAGGAAAACGAGCGACGAAAGACCAAAGTGTTTCGTGTTTCCTGCAAACAAGGGGGTTTCGCGGCAAAACAATTTTTTTAGCAATTTACTTAAATTCATCAATCTGGTAAATTGGATTTTTTCTCCACACTGTGCTGCCTTTCAGAATTGAGCCAGAAAATAAACTGAACACAAACGCTTGTGTCGAGCGCATGCGTAAGTGATAAACATGTTGAAGAGAAAATGAGAGTATACTTTATCGGTAAACTTATGAAAGCGTTTCAGCGTGTAAGAATATAAAATCAATTAAATTACAACGTTCCAGCCTAACTGCTTAACACAACATGGATATTTCTACCAAGTAAGCGTGTAAGGAAAAGATGATTAATCCCTGAAACTTCGTTGTGGCAAAATGTTCAAACTGTTAACCAGTCATACACCGCGGACGTGTACCTAACTACACTTTTAAATCCTCGACGTTTGCATACAACTGCTCGTCGTACAATGTCATGTTGATCAGCTTCTGCAGAGAAAAATAACATAATAACCAGCATCATGAAAAAAGTGTTTCTCTTACGTTAGAAGAGATTATCTTCACAAGTGGTCAGCTTTTCACACCAAAACGAATTCTAGGAGAAACTACAATGATTTTATGGCGTCATCGTCTGCTACTCTTTGTGCGTCTCAGTGCAGTTTTTGCAATCATCCTTTTAAGTAACCATAAAGTGTCAGTTGTCATATAGACATTCTAGTTCGATTCTACGCTGTGTTTCGTGGGGTGCTAGCTTCAGTTACATGGCAAAAAGATGCAATCATAACTTCGTAAAAATTACAGAGATGAGTTCATATTACTACGTTATCTAGGCTCCATGCTGTAGTTTAAAACATTAATAGCTGAGCCTTAGCCAGTCGGTCTTACGTGAAAATAAACTTTCATGTTGATCAAAATTCTGACCTTGTGTAGGATTTCCATGTCCTTAAGCTGATTTTTCAATTCAGTAAAAGTTGGTCTTGCATCTGGGTCATTCTTCCAGCATTTCATCATCATCTGATACCTGGTATTGTTCAAATGATCTGTTAGCGATTTAAAGAACGTTTCCTTGCATGATGAGAGAGAACGGGTTGAAAACGAAAACTTACAATTTTTCATCTACATGTTGGGGTTTAGGCATCCTGTATCCATCCTGAAGTAAGTTTGCAATTTTTCTTCCATCCATTCGTGGGTAAGGTGAACCGCCTGGAAGAACCGCAAGACCATCGAAATATAAATGTGTTGAAAAAAACGACCGTCACTGAAACATCACCTGTATCATTTGATGGAGTTTGAGGTTGCATGGGGGAGCTCATCACATACGTTTGTCCAACTGAACAAGATACATTATTTCATTAAACATGGTATATAGCAAAACACAACTACAGAGCCTCATAAACTTCCATTCGATGTTACCTATGGTGAAAATCTCGTACAGCAAAACTCCATAACTCCATCTGCAGAAAAGACGAATCAAACGATTATATATTAGGTGATTATTGACATAAACAGTATATACGACAACTAAAATATATGTATTCTTTGACAAAGCATAGAATTCATGCCCTGATTAAAATTTATAAAACTTGTTGGAAAATTGCTACGAGTAATAATCGGGTATACTTACACGTCACTTTTGGTGGTATATTTACCATACAACAAAGCCTCATAAGCTGTCCACTTCACGGGAAGACGGCCCTAAAGATTTTAAATATAACTTTGTGAAACAGCTAAAACATTATAGGAAGCGACTAGTCAAACACAGTGATATTTAAAGTTCTACCCGTATACGCATGACTGATATTTTCATTTGGGTCCCATTCAAGGATCTCATGATAGGATTCAGGAATATATTAGTCCTACCACAACAATGATTGTGAAAGGTCACTAAACGTCTCCACCTCCCTTCGTTCTTTATTACCTTAGTCTTTCGTTCATAAATATTTTCCAGCTGCACATCTCTAGCCATTCCGAAGTCTGTCACTTTACACGTTTCCTTTTGTCCAACCAACACATTACGGGCTGCAAGGTCTCGGTGAATGATCTAGGAAAGAATTGATGCCACAACAAAAATTAGCGACTGCAGAAGGAAAAGAACTGAAGGAAATGGTTCATACAGGGAAATAGAAATATCTAGCAACATGATGTGGTGGGCGTATTCCTTCGTCTTCCAGATGGCAGAAAATTAAAATTACTATAAGTGCTCCATACTCCAAAGAGACGCAAACTACTTTTATTCTGCAATACGCAGTTATTTCATAGAACGTTTTAATCGAAATAGGATTCTGTACTGTAACAGTTAGCGACTTAAGACGAATTTTTGAAATTTCAAGTTTTAACTCCTTTTCTTCCTTGACACATAAATGGGAATTTGTTATATACTCCAGTTTAGGCTGAATATCTCGCTAGATCCTCTTTATTCCCATCTCTGCCTTGGCCTATACGAGAGAAACCCGGAGATTTTATTTCGATGGGGTGCACTTGGAACAATGCACAAATATCGCCATTCAAACATTGGAATAAAACTTTGATGATTGCGTGAGAATTGAGAGAGTTCCCGGCACTAAAGAAATAGCCTCAAAAAGACAGTAAGAATACGTTTCCATCTCCCGAGCGTGAACTTATGAAGACATAATATTCTATGCAAGAGAGAGCTTAACATGACGATACACCTTATAAGAATATTTTAGAATAAAGTTTGTCTTTTTTGTTTTTAATTAACTTACAGATTTTGAGGACAAGTAACTCATTCCATCAGCAATTTGCCAAGCAAACTTCATTAGCTGCTGTGATGTCAGATTTGTTTGGGGTTTGATATCCGGGTCTTTGTAGTAAGTGTCTTTTAATCCACGACTCTTTCTCAGGTAACCCAGTAGATCCCCAAAAGGCACATATTCAATTAAAACCAACAGTGGTTCTGAAGAAATTAAACACGCTAAATGATAAAAATTACTCTCTAAAAATTTTGATAGATAAGTAACAGGTCACCGTCACCATTCTTCAAGGAAAGCACAAGAACCGGAGTTCATGGTAATTTTAAGAAGAATGGATGGAAAATTAAATTACGGTCCCTTAAGAAAATATTGTTAAATTATACCTTATAAGGTAATCGTCTCTGTTTTTGCGTCAGACTGGTCAGTTCAGTCGCAAACATTCTCTCAGTCTATTAGAAAGTCCAGAAATGTCTGTTTTACTCAAAAAACTAAAGTTATGGCCAGCGATGCTTACTTGCTCTGCTCAAATGGAGTGGCATTGTTATTGGAGCAAATAGTCTATTTTGAACAGGAGTGAGGCTAAGGGTGACCTTGGTATGATACAAACCTTGCTGCTTTTAGAATGTAGATTACTTTGTTATCACGCTAACTAGATACTGGTCTCTATCACAACATGGTCAACTTCAGCCTCACTCCAAATCAAAGGCTTGGCAACTTAGAACACAACTAAGTACACAACTAAGTACACAACTAAGTACACAACTAAGTACACAACTAAGTACTGCAACTGTGCACTACTTATCATCTAAGGGATACTGTTACAGAGTAGTTCATAAAGAAAATAGGTGACGAAGAAAACACACTGACAACGCATACCAGATTCGGTAACACATCCCAGAAGTTTGATGACGTGAGGATGTGGTTCCAGTTGCTTCATTGTTTCGAGTTCATTCATCAAATCGCTCTTGTCCGATTCAATAGCGTTCGCTAAAAGTTCGAGTTGAAAGTATGGAGTGGAAAATTTCTTAACAAGCAATATAAAAAGTGCTCAAATAACAACACGAGAAATCAAATAGCAAAGAGCTGAGCAAAACCTAAATCTAGACCAGTTTCCATTTCCAAGGAAAATATTTAAAGTTAGTATATGAGCTCACATTTAAGCATCTTAATGGCCACTGCGGTCGTTTCGCGCATCCCTCGAAGTCCTACTGCTGTTCCCTTGGCAACCTGACCAAAAGCACCCTTACCAATTTCTTTTTCTATAGTAACATGATGTCTCGGAACTTCCCAAGATCGAGTTGATGGATGAAGATGCGCATAATCAGGAACTGGAGCGGCACTTTCTGCTTTTCTCCCATCTTTGCTGGCTTCTATGAGATCCATGTACTCCGCAGGGGACTGAGCGTCTTTTTTCGAGTCGGGCTGGCTTAGTTCGATATCGTCCAAACCTATTCCGTTCTATTGAACCAACACGCCCGTTTAGGTATACACACATAAAACTGTGATCAATCCCAATGAAGATCATACCTGGTGATATGATCTTTAATAATACAGTAGTATAGTTGACCGATTTCGATATGACTAACGTTTATGTTCTTCCTTTATTTTACTGTGACAAAACATAATGTTCTCTGTTATTAAAACTTTCATGGCCAACGGAATAATCCAGGCTTATAGCATGTTCGCCGAAACTACGAACGGCAACATAAAGATTGTCGATTTGCAGTGGAATTCTTTGGGAAACACACACCTGAAGAAACCATAGCCGAGTTCACTCCTCCGCCCCAATCCCTTAACTACTGATTAATATTTAAGTCACCGAGAGAATAGGGCGGCAAAAAGAGCTCAAGAACAATTATTTAGAAGGAAAATATTAACCGAGTGCAGACCCCGTGGTTGCCCATGAAGCGCATGCGCAGCCAAGGAGTTGAACTCGGAACGACCGAACACAAATCCAGCTTGGTAAAAGACTTGATCCCAGGAAAACTGGCTATATCCGCTCAAAAGGCCTCTGCTGTTATTTTGTATCTGCCCCTCACTTATCATGTGTTTTTGGCAAAAGCCCTCATTTTTTCCTTTCATTTACTCGTCACACATTAATGACCTCAATATCTCAGCTTTTACTTACGTCATAAACACCTCTGTCATCCTCATAACTCCTACATTTGAGAAAGCATACGATTATTCATAAACAACAGAGAAATTTTTATTGCTTAATAATCCGCAGTTCAAACAAATGGTTTTCGGCATATATTCACAATTGTTCAGCCAAGAAATTTTTCAGTTTTATGTGACTTTTTATGTTAAGACAATTTCATGTCTGGCGTATTTCATCGACACAATCCAAGTTGCAACAAATTCTTACCTCTGTTTCCCTACGGCGCCTGAAAAATAACAATAGTAAAAAAGGCAGATGATATGGACGTGGTTCCAATATTTCTCTTGTCTTTAATGAATTTTTTAGCTAAACTCCCTAACATAGAAAATGAATTGTTTCTTACCTTTCCAGTGTAGCCAGATTATGTAAATTATTAGAAGAAAGATTATGAAGACAAGAACCCCAACTATGGCTTTGAGCATGATGTCGTTACATCGGCAATTACATTCCTCAGGACCTAAAAAGGATTCTTTTGTAAAGCTTAATAAAGTAAAATTCAAACAAGGTTTTTACTAGTTACTTTGACCCTTTCAAATTTATCAAATTTTTTATGTACTTACAGCAGCAACCAGACGGGCAACGGCATTCTGGGCAATGTATCAAGTAAAGTGGTGAGCCGCAATTTTAGTAATTGCTTTGAAAGGATTCGAACCCGCGCTTCCCAGCTGGGCAACATAAACCACTCATTGGGAAAAAGGGAAATTTATAGAGTTTTTCTCTCCCACGGAGGAATTTAATCACAACTTTTTTAAAGAAGTACATTTTACTTGACCTGCGGATGAAATCAAATAAAGCCATAATCTCTGCAGGTGAGATGCAGTTTTAGCAATTGCAATAAAGGGGGAGAAGCATCCCCCAAATTCACATGTTTTATTTTAATAAAAGTATTTTAGAAGGTCTTGGTTTGAGAAAAAGTGAAAACAAAACAGCATTTACCTGTGAGAGTTGTTTGGGATAAAGTGGCAACTGTAATTGATGCTGGCTTAACTGTGGAAAAATCAAATAAGGCTTTTAATGATCGACAAGAGATGTTCAATTTTTTCGTAAGTGGTTTCGGGATGCTGTTACGACAAACTATACATTATAAACCAGTCATCATAACTATTATCATTGTTGCTTTTGTCATGATTATTATTATTATTTTCAATGAATTACCAAATTAGTTAGATAGTGTAAAAGACGTATAGATAATCATATGATTTCGAGTGCAATTTGAAATATATATGCACGAGTAAATTTTAAAAAAAAATTTACAAGTGCATATTCATTCCAAATTGCACGAGAAAAATCATGCGATTATGTATTAATAATATATATTTAAAATACGAGATAGCTTATCATAATTACGCAGAAGCAAAGCGCGCGCATCGAGTGCAAAAATAATTTATTCAAACCCTGCAATTGACATTGTGCGTTCGGTCAAGATGGAAATTATTCATTAATAATGGACTTCCATCTGTGAGAATATTATACAACCTACGTATATATTGAGTAAGAAAGTTAAAACGGATATCTGCACTTACTTAATGAAATAAAAATGTGGAATAATAACACTCTTACGCTTCACTCGTGCTCTCCAGACTTCCCGCGTACATCCATAACTTTATATACACACGCTAAGCAGGAACCAGTTCTTAAATGATTTATTGGAAAACGTACTTAAACCTTTTCAACTTACCGACCATTAGCAACAAGTTCACGGTTGTATTTCCCAGTTCATTTTTTGCAAAACAGGTATACCATCCTTTGTTTCTCAAAGCAACATTCTGAACCTCCAGAGTTGAGCAATTAGTAACTTTTTTGCCGCTGGTATCATTTCCTTTGTACCACGTAATGACAGCTGGGGGGTTTCCAATATCCACAGGGCAACCAATAGACCTGTCTTCTCCTAACTCCAATTCAATGGTGGAGCTTGACCGGGTGGCTGATGGTTTATCTAGATACAAAAAGGTAAAGGAAAGATTTGCAATCTCAATGGAGACGAATATCACAAGGGCTACTGAACTTCGATTGATAAAGCCAATAAGTATGTAAAGCAAACTATGGGAATATTTACGAAAGAATAGCAATTAATCTGCCCTGGTGTTATTTGTATCTTTGCAAAGTAATGTTTCTTTTAGTAAACTTGCTAACCTAAATAACACTGTTTTAATTACAGGCCGGTTCAACGTACCCCCAAAAAAATCAACAATACAAACATTCATCCAGCTTTGTCACATTTAACAATAATATTACTCTATATCAACACTTCGTAGGTCATACATGAATGCACCTCAGAGAATAGCTATAAGCGCGATTTACGTAAGAGAGAATATTAAACTGAGGATGAAAAAGACGAAAACGAAAAGGGACAGACAAAGAGTTCTCAAATCCTGGTCCTGGTCGCGTCCTTAATCGTTTAATGGGTATATTTGAGACGCCACATATTATGATTTCTCGCTTCGTCACGAGAAGTGGAAGAAAAATGATCAGTACTATTCCAACCTTTCTTTTTCCCAACGCAGTCTTATAATTGACTGGCTAAATTATGCGTAAATTGTACGTATACATAGTAAAAAACAATCCTGAAAAGGATATGTTCTTACACTGTACATCAATGAATATAGTAGAAGAATCACTTCCACAAGTGTTGTTTGCAATGCATCTGTACTCTGTTTGATATCTTGTGATGTGAGTGATGTTCAACAGCTTTCCTATGATGACCTGACCACTTTTAACATTCTCCCAAAAAACAGTTAAGGGAGGAGATCCTGTGGTGACCTTGCACTCCATTGATACATTTTTGCCTTCCTTGACTGTTACATTTTGTACCCGTTCCATGGCAGCTGGGACTTGAAGAAACAAACAAAAAGTGAATAATAATAATAATAATAATAAGTTAATAAATGCTTAGTGATTTTAGATTCTAGTTCTTACCGTAGCATAATGATTGTAAAGCACTACGGGTGGTTAGGTGAATAGTGCTATATAAATTGATATTATCTCTATCATATTATTCGCCTCAGACTCCTTGAATGTTTCTGAACAAGAGGCCATGATCTCTTGTATAATTCTTGATTTCGTCTTGCGGATTATTCAAAAATGCTTACTTCGCCTTCGGCAAATAATTGTTAATTCATAGGCTACTATCTAATTTATTTTCAAAATAGCGGTTGTTTGTTTAGATGATCCAGGTGAATAAAACATACCTAAAAATAATTGTGGAAATTACTTAATTTTGTAAGGTAAGGGGTTGTTTCCATGGTTATTGTAATCAATTCTGTGATTGGTGGATTTAGCTGAGTGGATTTAGTATGATTGGTTGCTTTAACTGTCCCAATACAGGTGTCTGATTACAGTCAACTGTCCTATTACACTTGGCAATAAGAACTCTACAGAAAAATATGTGAAAATTGATTCTGCTAATGCACCAATCACATTTGAAGAAATTGTAATGGTTATGATTAAAAGTGAATCAATGCCTAACCCTTCCGGGCAAACGGCTTCAAATATTCAAATTAAATTAGTACGATAGGTGTGTTACTCTTATTCAGGATAAAAGTGTCTTAAATTAAATTTCCTTAAGTTTCCGAGAATCCAACAATGTCATCAAATGCTGATTTTAAAAAGTGTTTATTAAGATCTGATTCAAGGATTAGCTGTGAAAAGATACAAGTTAGGAAACGATTAGCCAATGTGGCTGAGTTTTATTAGGATTGTCGAATTCCAAACAGCTGCCTAATTACAATTTTTGGTGTTATGTGCAATTATTACATTTCCCGAAACAAATACTATCAGTCAACGTATTTGTGAATTCTTCTGTTAGCATTAGTTCCTAAATAGAATGTTATTTCTCTTGCTTTACAGATCAAAAGGAAAGGGTTAGGGCCAGTTTTTGAAAGGTTTGATTCCTAAAAATTTTTTTAAATCAAAGTTACATTTTAAGAGCAGAGAGAAACCCAAGTTGTACTTATTTACTGAGAGCATTAGCGAAATTAAGGTTGATACTATATTATAGGATAAGAAATGTAACATCAAGGCAAAGTATGGTTTAAATTAATTAGGCCCTTTAATTACGACTAACTTGAAAGCTCTTTATTTTCATTTAAAAAAAAACGACAACAACAAATTTAACAACACATTACACAAAGGTACGACACATACAATGTGATGGCGATCATATCAACTTAGTAGTAAAATTGCAAAAAAGTATCCGTTTTTTGTTTTGTTTTGTAATGCTTTGTTTTGTTTATGTTTTTTAATAATAACACTGTTAAAAGTAATATTTGTTAAGTGCCTTTTCAAGGAATATTATAGATAATATGTTGCATATGAGAAGTAGGTCGTTCCAATGACGGTACTGGTGGGGCTAAACTTCCTTATATCATTTAAGTGGGAACGTAATAATCGCTGAGAAGATCCACTTCGTGTGAGAAAACTATGTTGCTCAGGTACCAGAGTTATTGAGAGATTTTCAAAGAGGTGTTCATACAAGAATAGACATGTACAGTGTTTTCTCGATTAAATGCCGGACCCCTATTAAAAGACGGCCTCAAAAAAAAGCCAGGTCCAAACTGCCGATTTTTAAATAAACGCGGGAGGCATGTATTTAAAAATCCCAATATTGATACTTTAAGCGAAATTAGACGATCGAGTAAATGAAGATAATCATTCTACTAAATTTCACAAATGAGCACATGTAAGAATATGACCTTACTTCCTACAATCACCTCCATTGTCTGATTGACAGGATTCCCAGCTCCACTGAAAGCTGTACAGCGGTATGTTCCACTGGAGCTTCTGTCGATATTGCGTATGACATAATACCCATCTAAAGACGGCAGTTCTCCACTGTCAGTGCTATTTTTCCACACTCTAGTCCACGTAATATTTGATGTCGGTTTACCAGTTGCATTGCAACTCAAAGTAACCATGGAGCCTTCACAAACATCTTGGTTCCCAGCAGTCACAATCTCAGGATGCTCTTCAAAATAATATGTTTTTTAATTAAGTGAAAAAGTTTATTCCTCAATTACAACCAATTTCCTATGTCACCAAAAGAAATTCGTAAAAGCTTCCTGTTAATACAACTAAGCAACAAAGCTTTTTGTTCCACCTGCTTTCACAATCTGTGGATTGTGTTCAATAGGAATTTTATTTTCAACTGACTGTCTTGTTCAGACATCTTTGAACGCCGGCAAAGAAAAAATAAGTCTGCTGAACGAGGTTGACCTATTGTTAAACCTTCCCCATAAAGTGCTTTGGAACAGCAATTCTCGTCTTCTTTTAATTTTCATGGAGCCATATCTCAGAATAAGGGAAAATTTCTCATAGGAACATTTCAAAAGGAAAGAAAAGCCAAGCGGAAAAACGTCAAACGATGAAAGAAGACGCTTTTTGCTTAATAAACCCGAAAAGTTTACCAGTGATGCTCTACCTCACATACCCCCAACCAGTTTTCCTGGCTAGCTTTCAAATATATGTAAAGTTAACTATTCTGCACGGTTTACTGTAACAGAAATTCATTGTAAGTCCCTTTTTTTGCCTAATGTGACAGAGGAGAGGTCTGAATCCCATACAAAACTGATTCAAATGCACTTAAGAGGTTAGACGCGTCAATTACGAGCCACACCCCCTCGCCATGGTTATAGTTACTGAAAATGAATTTTCCCATGCTTAATATTAATATTTACTTAATATTTACCTTAAAAGTAGTCTCTAAGAAGACATTTGCTAACTTGCACTTTACCTAAAACTGTAACATTTACTTCATGATCAGCAAGGACAGTCCCGTCAACCTCTATAATGTACTCAATCTTGTATGTTCCTTCATCTTCTGTCCTGACGTTGTTGATAAGTAAAGTGGCTGGATCATTTTTATTAATCTCAATATGTGGGGCTCTGAGTTCATTATAATAAAGTTTCCCATGAGTACTTAAAAAGAGTTTGGCACCAATCATATCATAATCTGAACTTGAGGAATTAAACATTTTCCACCTAATGACATGGAATGTCTGACTCTTGACCCGTTCATCAGCAGTTAGGGTGAACTCCCAGATAAGCGATTTGTCCTCTCCTATTGTTACCAATGTTGGATTGGCTGGCTGTACCGTCCAATTGAAAGATTCTGTAGTTCAGCAAAATAAATATCCTTAGGCAAATGACTTTTTGCTCGAGACTGGTGGCGACATGCAAAATTTCATGAGGCAAAACACAAGTGAAAACCGTTATTAGCGCTTAAAAAATTAAACCGCTTGGATATTATAACTATCTCTACCCAGTCTCTCTCAATACTGCTCGTGGAGGAGTAGAGATGATACAATGCCTGTCATCTAACTTCCTACTTTTAAACAGGAATTAGCGTGGTTGAATGAAATAAAATTGGTAGTTACGTGGTGGAAGAAGTTGTTACTCCTTCAATTCATCCGTCTCATGTTGATTTTTGAACATTAACTGAGAAGAGGTTAGCTCCTTTTTACAGGTACAACAAATTAAAGTTAGATTTGTAGCTTATTGGAGAGTTTTTACTGATATAAACCTCTAGGTGCTGCTTCCTGGTCGGATCGCCCAACTTTGGGAATTATTTTCCCGGCGTCAAAGAGCTGTACATCTTTGACTTAATTTAAAACACTTCTTAGTTTGCTTTTCGTGGTTTTCCTTTTAGAGACCGTTTTCACAATGCACATGCATGACAATGACCACCCTCTAGTCGTAAGAAGGTACCACATGCAAACATCTACCAGTCTGATAAAAGTTCTGTTCGTCACTACATAAAGCGGGTTTCTTGTTGACTCTAAACCCAACAACAGTTAAACAGGTCGGCACAGTTAGTGAAATACGAAATATTCGCTGGGAATTGAGATGATACATTGTCAATTAATAGGCACCCAACGCGAGCAGCGAGTTCTTCGAACAAACACAATTAAGTTATTCCGTATAAAAATAATCGCGCTCTTTGTGGATTTGCACAAAATTATCGACATTGTACAATTTATTTTGACAGGACGTGAGGACTTACAGCGCTGCTGAAACCGTTTAAACGCTACTGCTCTATACCAATTTTTATGTGCTAATAACAACCTAATCTTTGGCTTACACGGTGGCCATTCACTTTTTGTGCTTAGTTGCTCGAGTTCAACATTGGACTAAAAATTCCATATCTTTGCACGTCTATGTATGAAACTCTATTTGCAGGTTATTGTGGTAAGACTTATTATGCTGCGTTTGGAGGGCATAAGAAAATATAGACATGTCTATAGCACAGCCACAGCGCCAGATAATTTTTCAAGATACATATTTTCATTCCATGACTTATTGGCGCAGTTCTTCTTTCAGATAGTCGAAAAATAGTCGATTCATTCAATCCACACAAGAGGTGAAATGACCGATTCATCCTTCCGGCTGGTGGAGTACTCATTTTGCAAATGACAGATTTCCATTCCCATTTCGGCGGTATGTCACGAACTATGTTTCACATCTTACACTAACATTCCGACCAACATCTTTTCGACGCCTGTTTGCATTTGCATGACAACAAAATAAAGAAATATACCTACCCTTCCCTCCCAATCGCATTTATCAATAACAGTAAAATAAAAAAGGCCCCAAAATTGCGCAAAAATTAGTCCAAAAATGTTCTTATAGTCCGTGAGTCCAATGGTCCAGTCCTATATTTCTTAATAGCGCGTTTGGCGACGCTCAATGGACCTCAAGATTCTTTCTTAAGCGGGTTGTTTGTGGAAGATAAGTGTTTTTCTGTGTAAGTAACAATCCATCTCAAATATAAGTGAAAAAATCAACGTTTATAATCAACGTTTAGCTAAAACGCAGTTTTAGATAACAACTACTAAAATTAAGTACGTTTGAATAACAACCACGAAACGTTTGCGTTAATTGACCTCTGGGCGTTTAGTTAATACAAAAGTGATAGTCACCCAGACATTTAACAGTTGCAAACAAAGCAAAAAGTACTGCTCGTATCCGCAGGCAAGTGACTATTAGGGATTCACACATCTATTTAAAAGATCATATTTTACAAGCTGGGTAGCCCGTGTTCTCTGATTTAATTATAGAAGCACTACGAGAACAATTGATGTAGATGAAAAGATTTGCTGAACAATAGTGTGCTGTTTTTAACCGCTGGATGTTTTGCCCACCTCACCACAGAGAACTCCTTATTTAAACTTGTAGCATTCACAAATAGGCATGATAAGAAATATATCGTTTAAGGGACCTTTCATTGCACTGCTTAAAGTCGAACCGACAAACCAAGATCATTTGCGGCGCTGACGCATAAATTTTGGGTGTCTGGCGTGATTATTTGTAAAAATAATTTTTTGATAATCTTTGCGAAACGGCGTTGAACGAGATTATATCTATATGATAGTCACTTCCTTAAAAGATGCATGGTCACTTACAGAGCATAATTCTGGCTAACTCCATTCAGTTTGGACCAAAATGCCAGTTGAGAGTATCAGTTTCCGTGTTAAGCTGGTTGCCAATCGTTCGGTAAGTCTGGCAATTATTTGCCTATTTGATTTTGTAAATGGAATCGATAGTTTCAATCATTACGCGAGAAAAGCGACCTTTTTCGCTTTGTTTTTGGTAGTCTTACAACGACGTACGATTGAGGAATGATTGGTTTGTTCATTTATTGCATTTCTATAACTTAGCGCATACCATAATCAACTGAAACGTAAGTTGAAAATCTTTATCACAGTGACTCACCTGAATATTGAATTACGCAAAGAAATGTGATGTATTGTGAAACGATAACAAATTCCATTTCAGCTACTGCAATTTCCTGGATGGCTGAGATTTGTACTTTTGTCACAAGTCTTCATCTGAAAATAATTTCATCTACCGTGACAAATCAAAGATTACGTGATGATAATTACCCACGATTCCCTCTGGACCGATCGACTTTTATCATCATTCAGTGTGAAGTATTTTATATCATTCTTATACGTCGAGCTCCCGCGAATTTTGTTGCTCAGTGAGAACTATTCACCTGTGATTGCGTCAGCGACAACAGATAAAAGGTATTTTGAAACAAATCATCCCCTGATGATTACTTTAAGAAAAGCGCTCATATCAGCTCTAGTTCTTGGTGTTTTAATTGTTAAGAAAATTCAGATGTTCATGTTTACGACTCTAGCTTGGATATCTGGCTTTTAATCGAGAAATTACGCTGCTTGAATTCTAGTCGACTATGATAATAATAATTATAATAAGAATGATAACAATCATGATGATAATGATGATGATGATGATGATGATGATGATGATGATATAAAAAAAGGTGAAAAAGTCAAGCAGCATGACTAAGGATATCAAACCAAACGGGCACTTAAATCATCTCATAACCAATGTTAATGATATACTGTGTACTCATCAGGTGCTGTTGCTGACTTTCAGCTCATGACGTCCCGCAAATTCGGAAACCTAGTAGTAGCGTTAATCTCTGGTTGATGTCCGTTTATACTGAGGGAGCGGTTATGTCCCACAGAAACGATTAAGGTAACCATGCTTGCCATTGCTCTCGAGATCAACTATGCAACTTATTCGCGAGCGATCATTTAACAGTGGAAAACCTGGTAAACTTTCCCTTTAACAATTTTGAAATTGAATGAACGGGAGCTTCAGTAATTTATGGTTATTATTATCTCTAAAATCTATTCTGCGGGGGTATGCTCGTTGTACGTTTGCTGTAAATCTGCGAGTAGAGAGGTAAAAGAACGAGAAAGTAGAAAGCTTTGGCTTGGGTGAATCTACAGTTATATGCATGATTTGTTCGCTCTGAGAGATCGCCTCTAAAGACTTAGTCAAGACAGTGGGTGAGAAGACAATCTTTTGACAAATTCTTTGAAAATTCCTTAAGATACGGTCATTTGGGATTGATAAATTGTGACATTTAAAACACACGTAATTCGTAAACCCTTGGTTGTCATTCCTCTTTGGCATATACTAGAACAGTAAATATCATCATCGCGGCGGAAGTGACGAGAATAGCTTCTACATATTTCGGAAGAGCGACAACGCAATGACGTATCACAATAATTTTAAAATGTTTGACTTCAAAAATATCCACCTTTCGCTCATAAAATTAGCTGACTCCGCCCTTCTTTAGCAGAGCCCTGTTTGATCGAGTGCTGCAAATCAAAACCAAAGTTTGTCACAATAGCCAATCAGGAGAATGGAAAATATCACAGTGAGTTTATGAGAAGTCAATCACAAGATATGTCAGCGGTCTTAAGGCGATTTCTCAGAAAAAGAATTATCGAGCTATTTCGTTAAACTTTCCTTAAATGTTCCCTACCAATGTCTTTTTTGAAAAATACAATAAAAAAGATAGGTTACAATGCTCGTTTAGGAGATATGATAAGCCTATCTAACCTCATTTATGCCTGTGCTGGAAATAATTACACGCGTCTTTTCATCGGTTCATGGTATATTTTTTTAGTAGCTGGAAGCAAGGGTTTTTAAAGTAACACTTAAATAAAACTTGATAGATAAAAAGTCTCGAGCGTATGGAAAAATTTGGTAAATAATTTGCGGAAAATCACGCGGGAATGTCTTGTGAACCTTAACGTAGGAATCACGTTACAAAAGTTCGAGCTGTTCTAACTTACACAGAACTATTTAAACACTGCCTGGATCCTAGTTCGCACTGATAGTCATATTAATAAACGAAAGCATCATTTTGACATCGATGAAGACATCATATTGTCCTGCATTCGAACATCCGTCTTCGGCAGAAGCTACGCCTGTTAATACAAATCGTCCATCGATCCCTGGACAAACTAGAGGCGCACCCCTCTCGACATTACAACCTCGGGTTTTCCCTCGGGTGAAGTTTGCACATACTTCATACTCGGAGAGTTTTCCACTGTATGATGCATTACAGTCTTGAAATGGGGCTATTTCAACTTGGGCTTCGTTCAACACATCCGTGAAATTCCCGTCCTTTTTGGCAGACTGCCAACTGGTCACGTAACACGAAGAATTTACGTTAACGTTTGCATCGTCTTCCGGAAGACAGATAGGAAGAACTCGCTTGTGAAGGACAGCTTCTCGCTTCATTTTCAGTAGTGTGACATGATGTTTTGCACTTGTGTAAATTTCTTTGACTTTAATACTTTCTTCGTATCCCTCGATGACTGTTCGGTCATGTTCACCGAGCCGGACCATCCAGTTATCGGTATTGTGGCTTGTGTTCAAACAAGTTGCCGAAGTCAGAATCCAGTGCCGGTCGATCAAAGAGCCGCTACACGCATGCGTATCTTTGAATAGCAGCTCAACCTGCCACGGCCAGGAGTTGGGACGAGCCTCGTTATGGCTGAGAGCAGGAGAACTTTCCGAGGATAGGAAGCGGGTGCCACATTTCGGATGACCTAAACAGAATGAATAAAATAATCAAAATTCATCGGAGAATCGCCACCATCAAAATAACTGTCTGAAATAAAGAAGTTAACAGTCTTTTCAGTGCATTTATTGAATTGGCCGTGCCCTTAAAATTTCGCGAGTTTTCTTTCAGATTTGTACAAAGGAAAGTTAAGCAAATGTACGTGACAGTTCTAGGCAATAATGGGTAACAGCAAAACATTACTCACTAGGTAAACCTTAAGACCAAACTTAACCTGCCAGACACAGTAAGAGCTGGACGATAGCGGATCCAAAAGGCAACCAAAGCCGTTGAGATACTTATTCTCTTTTCACTTAGTATATACTTTTTCCATCAGTTAAAATTAAACCAAAGCTACACCAGTGGCTGATCAGGACAAATTAAAATCACTGAAAGGCGGAAAAAACAACCAAACAAGGCCACGATTTGATTTGTTTTGCTACTCAGTGATTTGTTGCCATCGGGTAACACGTATTCTCATCGACCAATCAAAGAGCGAAGCAAAAATGCACTATGCTGGGTTAATCTACACGACTCACCGTATAGGGTAGCCGTGTAGCCGTACCTATTTTCTTTTCACTCAGTGTATACTTTTCCATCAGTTAATTGTCATTAACACTAAACCAAAGCTATACCAATGGCTAATCAGAACAAAGAAAAATAACTGAAAGGCGAAAAAGACAACCAAACAAGGCTACGATTTGTTTTTGTTTTGCTACGCAGTGATTTGTTGCCATCAGGTAACACGTATTCTCATCGACCAATCACAGAGCGAGGCAAAAATGCACTATGTCGGCTTATTCTACACGACTTACCGTATAGGGTACCCTCAATGAATGGCAGCATGTAGCGCACATCGAAATACACGCCATATTTATTAGCTCGGGCGCAGCCTTCACCCCAGCTTACAACGCCCGTCAGTACGAAACGGCCATCCTCATTTTGACAAGCCAGCGGTCCTCCGCTATCACCACCACACGAGTCTTTACCACCGCCTTGAAAACCAGCGCAAAGATAACGTTCGTGTATAGCACCATTGTAAGAAATATTGCTGTTACAGACTTCTTTAGATACAAGGTTCACCTCCACTTCTCGAAGAACATCTGAATACTCAGTTGCATTTTCTTCTTCCCTTCCCCATCCGGTGGCAAAACAGGATTTTCCTGTTGGAAAGGTAGTGTCCATATCAGGCAGACATATTGAATGTACTCGGCTGTGGAACACCGCTGGTCGCTTGAGCTTGACGAGGGCGATGTCGTAATCGCCGGGTCCGTAAGAAAGGTTTAATCCCGGATGTATCGTGACGTGTTCAATTTCGATCCTTTCCTCGTAGCCTTCGAATTTTGTCTCGTTATGCTCCCCAACCCTAACATGCCACCAGTCTACTTGTGGAAAAAAATAAAAGCAATGGCCAGAGGTCACAACCCACGAAGGATCAATCAGCGAGCCGCCACAATAGTGAGAAGTACCATTTACGAGAAGATCAACTTGCCACGGCCAGGTGTTGGGGCGAGCTTCTAGGCCTCCTACGATTCGGGAGGAAGGGGAAGGAACTGGACGAACGCCACAAGAGGGATATCCTAGGAAATGGTGGAGTAACGAGACAGAGAAGATTAGAACGTACATGAAAATCCTTTTAAGGGACCTTCTTTACATTTGTGTATGGAGGAATCAAATGCCAAGTCTTTGACCCAACCATGTGTAAAACGTTTAACATGCTTTTTTTCGTCCTTCTCATCATCGTCATCAACAAAACCACAATTACAATTTCAAGAAGAGTATCCTGAAATAATTCCCTGGAACTTACAGCGACCACATTCAAATTAGCCATCAAACCAATGTTTTCTTTCTTCTTAGAATATTTTACATTAGTTGTTTTAACCAGCACTATATGCGCTTGTACTATATCACACGACCCCTCAAGCATGTAATGCCTTCATTCTCATCGCGTTGAAATAAAGGATCTTACTTACTTACTTACCGTGTAGAGTACTTTCAATGAATGGCAACATATAGCGTACATCTAAATACACGCCATATTTATCAGCTCTAGCGCAACCTTCTCCCCACGAAACGATCCCGGTTAAAGTAAAACTTCCATCGTCCTTTGGACAAGCCAGTGGCCCTCCACTGTCACCCACGCACGAGTCTTTACCACCAGCTTCAACACCTGCGCAAAAATATCGCTCGTGTATGATCCCATCATAAGAGATATTGCTGTTACAGACTTCTTTAGATACGAGGTTCACCTCTACTTCTCGAAGAACATCTGAATACTCAGTTGCATTCTCGTCCTGCTTTCCCCATCCGGTAGCAAAACAGGATTTACCAGTTGGTAAACTAGTTTCCATGTCGGGAAGACAAATGGCATGTACCAGCTTATGGAAAACCGCCGGTCGCTTGAGTTTGACGATCGCAATATCGTAATCGCCAGGATATTTTGCATCGCCAATAATGAATCCAGGATGGACTACTATGTTTTCAATATCAATCATTTCCTCGTATCCTTCGAATTTAGTTTCGTTGTGTTCGCCAACCCTGACCTGCCATTGATCTGGTTTAGTGTACACATAGAAACAGTGAGCTGAGGTCACAACCCATAAAGGATCGATTAGAGAGCCTCCACAGTAGTGAGAAGTACCATTGACCAGAAAATCGACCTGCCACGGCCAGGAGTTGGGGCGAGCTTCGCGTCCACCAACAATACGAGACATTAAGGAAGGAAATGGCCGAATACCGCATTGTGGGTAACCTGGAACGAGAATTGCAAGAGTTTGGATAAATATGTGTATCATGTCAGAGGACCGTATTTCAATTTATTCCCAGGACGATTCATAATACTTGGCCGTCAAGGACATGAAAAGCTATCGAGTAGCGGGTGATGTCTTGTTGAGGAAACTGAAACAAACAGATAGGATGAAATAGTGTTCCGAGTGAAGTGGCTAAGATTGGATACGTACGTGTTCTATTACTGTTCATATTCGTTGATAAGATCGGAAGAGTTATTAAACTCACATCCCACAGTTTTACAAAAACACTCTTTAAGTTTTTCTGATGTCCACCAAGTGTTGTTATTAATGTAAACACTCGATTGCGGACACGTTGACACCTAAAAGGTATGACCCATCAACGATGAGACCCAATGGCTTTATGGGTTTTTTTTGCACAGTTACATAATCAGTAATTTACTATTTCCATTATTTAAGGAAAAAGTTTGTTTACGACAATTCCTTTCTGTCAGGAAAGCTGGGTGGCTTTTAGCAGCTAATTGTAGTTGTCATGGACATGTGTACCCAGAAAGCCGTAAAAAAAGCTGTAAAATAGGGAAGCGATCAACTTCGCACGTTTACAATCTCCGCAACAGTGAAGATCTAAACTTGCCAAAATGCCGGACAGCGGCTGCCCAGCGTGGTTTCTTTTATAGGGAAGCAAAAGTGTGGAATAATCTCAGCAACAACACTAGAACTGCTCGATCACTACGATCATTTATAAAGCAGCAAAGGCTGAATTAGGGAAGAAATAGGATACTGGTATCTCAACATATAGCTTAGTTGTTATGATTGTTAATTTAGTAGTAGTCATTTTAAGTTATTTCTATATCAAGTACAAGTAAGTTATTATTTTATATCATTAGTCTTTCATATTATATATACACATTGTAAATTAATTCTGAAAAGCCCCTTGGGGAGAATTAAATAAAGTATGTATGTATGTATGTATGTATGTATGTGTGTAAAGCCACCGGGTCTCATCGTTCATTGATAACGCCTTTTAGCCGTCGTTTTTACAATCGAGAGTGTATTTTATTACCATCTAATTTAGTGCATACCATATATAGTGCTTTCAATAAAGGGAAGAAATCTGCGGACATCAGCGTAAACCCCATATTTTTGCGGTCTCGCACATCCGACACCCCAAGTCACCACACCAGCCAGCACCCACTTTCCTGCCCCATCTTGACATACCAGGGGCCCTCCACTATCTCCTTGACAAGCGTCTTTTCCACCTTCAGGATATCCTGCGCACATGTAACGCTCCTTAATGTAACCGTTATAAGAGTCCTCTTTGTTGCACTCCTCAAAAGAAACTAAGGGCACTTCGTTCTCTCGAAGAATATCGGAAAAATTTCCATTTTCTTGGGTGTGACCCCAACCTGTCAAGAAGCACATTCGGCCAACCTCGTCGCTGATAGTCGAGTCTTCTTTGGGCAGACACACCGGACCGACTCGACTGTAGAACGTGACTGGTCTCTTCAGACGGTAAAGAGCGAAGTCGTAGTCTCCAGCGCTGACCATCGTCGGGCGGTCGTGTTTAAATCCCGGATGTATGTAGAACCTGTCTCCTTCGATAATCTCCTCGTAGCCCTCGAGAACCTTGCTGTTGTGCTCTCCAATACGTATTTCCTTTGGTGCCGATGAGTAAATTTCATCCACACAGTGAGCGGCTGTAATTATCCACTGAGGGTGAATGATGGAGCCCCCGCACCAGTGCTTAGTCCCATTCTCCAGTATTTCAACTTGCCACGGCCACGAGTTTGGCTTAGCGATGTTGCCGCCGACAACTCGCTTTTGGCGAGAATGATGAATTTCGTCTTGTCGGCGACTTCCACATTTTGGAAAATCTATGCAAAGAAAGAAGTTGTCACTGAGTTACAACAGAGAGAAAACCTGCAGAGATAGATAAAATCGTGTTTTTGTATGACGACGCACCGTCAAATTTCCAACGAAGCATTGATATACAAATGCAAATAAATTTTCCCATAGGATTGATCTGGCCGGGTTTATTTCTAATGCCTAATGTTTCCTTGAACCTGTACTGGTGACTACTGCCTTGCTAGAGCACTATTGCCACCATCTAAGTTATTTTAGTACCTGCTGGGAACTCTCATATCCGGTGATTAGCTCCTCCACTCCCAAGATCTCATTAGCAATTCTCCTAACTATCTGTGATACATTTCTTATGATGAAAGTTCAGAGAATTTGATATTGACTTATGATCCCCCAATTGATATGATTCTATCTTCTCATCACTTGTCATCCTGATATTGTATTGTTGTTGTAAGGAAAATTTCTTTAAATCAAAGCAGAAGCAGAAGTTATCGCCGAATTTTAACGTCTGCTTCTGAAAAAGACATTCTTCTCTTCAACTCAGTTATATTAAATCACTGCTCACCTCGCATGCAGCCATAAATTTCTGTTCGAAGAGCGATAGCATCATTCCATTCCGTGGGCTTAATGCGTAAAAAACGCGCCATTTGAAGCTCTTCTAGTTGGGTGGTTTTGACCTCATGTCTGCTTTCACTGCCATCAAAGACCTGAATAGTATATGAACATTTTTTTTGTGAATAGTTACGGTATATTTAATGTTATTTGTGTCATGACAAATGCTGGGGGTACTCTGCTTTTCTCGATTATAAAGGGATACCAAAAGAAAAATTGGTATACGTCACTCCAAGAGATCAAACCAGGGCCCAGACCCAGTTGTTCAAAGCTCCGATAATACTATCCAACGGTTAAATCGACATCCGGCGGATAAGTGATCATGTTCACAAAGCGCACTGGACTGTCCACAGGGCTTCTACAACCTTTGAACAACCGGGAACAGATGTAACCCGATTTTTTGTCCCATTTCTGCTGAAACTACGCAGATTGACATGGTAGGGCGATCAGTCCCTATTCCAATCCCTAACAAAATCGCCCCTTTCCAATGACCAAAAAAACAACTACAAAGACAAAAAAACAACAAAAAATTGAGAACCACCGATAGACAGCCGTATTTAGTACTTCGCATAAGAAGTACCTCTGATATATCATCCCAGAGTTTGCCATCCTTGCTAAATGATAACGAATACTTTGATACCCAGAAGTCATTTGTAGGATGACCCTGGATAGCGACCGCTGACACGTTAGCTTCGTTTTCGAAATCAATCTGCAGAAATTGATTGGCGTCTTGAATAAGCGGCATCCACGCTCCGTTACCATGGAGACGTGCTTGTGCGGGATCATGGACACTGTCGCGAATTGATGAGGCGGTTATGGCAGCTTCCTGAATCCAGAAAGTTTGCATGCCAAGCGAACTGTTACAGGTTGATCCTATGGTGGAAAACAAAAGGTTGTTTTAGTCGCCTTAACAAGAAACAGGGAAATTCTCGAAAACTAATGGCTTCCCTTCCCTTCCCTTAATGGCTTCCCGCTAGAACTGAAGATAAATAGAATGTGAGAAGATAAATTTTGAACTCTCAGGAAACAAAGAAAGACGTTAATTGTCTTGTTATGATGACCGTGTAACAAAGTGAAATCTGAGAGCACCCCAAGAGGAAATCAACCCCAGAGCTTTTGATACTCTAAATCCGAATGTCTGAAGCTTTAATCCACACGAAGAGGATCCCAATGAGGTGATGACTATTACGGCTAACAGTTAAAATTTTGGCCATTTTACGCCTACGGTTAACTAAAAAAATGACACAAAATGACACACTGTAATGAGGAAACATTTTTACGGGTAACTTTCTTCACGACTAACGGTTAAAATTTGGAGTTTTTTACGCCTAACGGCTAAATGCTCAAGCCGTTTTACGACTGACTGTTAATCTCACCGGAACCCTCCGCGAATCCCTTGTTCTTTTCACACTCTCGAAGCAGCTTCTAAAATCTCCCTTTCATCGACATTCATGTGCATTTTTACCTTCCTTATTATTGTTTCTTCTCTACAACGTGTTCATTTCCTCGACAGCTTTATTTGCTTTAAACCATTATCACTATACATTTGTCAAAATCAACAGATATTACAATTCGAAACCTAATCTCGTTTCCTCATCAGCGCAAACGGACATTACATCTAAAATTAGGTGTTCTTAAAGCTGTGTTCGTTTCTTTTGTGAATATTGAAAGGAGGTGCACCTCGCAGCAGTTGGTGATTCATAATTGCATGAGAAGTCTTTAGAAGAAACTATCGTAAATTGCTAGCTGAGACTGGCGTGGTATAACACCGCTTGTTCGTATACGAAAGCTTGTGTGGCCTAAAACATAAAGATCTTATTGTAAGAGTTTACAGATGTCAACATCGAGGTATAAATCAGGTCAAGTGGCCGCATCCCTCCACCGGCTTTGCATTACCATGTAAATTAGTTTTATGTGAAAGAAAAGTTGACAATTCATGTGTAACATCATTCGAATAATGCAAACAAACCCCGTAATAAGAAAATCAAGTAAGCGTAGCAACGATTCCAAATACAGTAAATATGAAGAAACGATCTAGGGGGATAAATTGTTTTTTAAAAATATTATGAGCCTCTGGTTTCCTCTCTTCTGTACTACCTTCGACGGATAATATGATGTCACGGTGAAAAATCCTTAGCAACAAGTTTCTTTAAAATTTCTATTTTCACACATTATCTTTATCCGTCGATGGTAAGAGACAAGATGAATATGAAACCTCAAAAGTATTATTACTCAACAACCAGCTGAAGTTAACCACCACAGCATTTCGTAGGAAAAGTTTCGAAAAGCAGAAGTTCATCAACCAATGAACGTATGCATGTAGTGATCTATTTTGGTGTCGAGTCTAGATCTCAAACAGCAAACAGTGATATTAATATGGTTTGTAACTTATACTGATGGAGAATATTAAAGTCCAAATTAAACTTCTGCGAGGTAACGAAAGCATTGCAGCTTTTTTTGTCCCAAAAAGATTCCAAAGTTCTTTCCTATTAGCATTTGTCAAATTAACGTTGATAACCCTGATTTCAGCTTTAATTGTCGACCGTCGACCTTTTGTTTCACAACAAGTGACAGTTATGGAAGCCGCATTAGAGAGCAAAAAGGCGAAGATTGAAGGAAAACATTCAACGTAAGAAATCTTACCCAACGTTTCTTCTGGGAACAAAATGCTGGCCTCTCCAAATGTTGCAGCATCTAATAAAGTATATGAGAGAATTCATACATAAACTGACGAATGGATCTCGCGTTAATTGTTGCATTTAATTTTGTTAACGCAAATTTCGCATGGCGTATCTTCGTCCGATTCAATTGCTGACGGCTCGTGATGTCGACTTTCATTATTTGCAGATCTTCCCGTGAAATTAAGAAACGCCTTTACACAAGGAGGCTAAAGATATTCCCTGATCGAGTAAATGAAAACAGGAGATATATACCCGTAGGCTTATCATTGCTGAGGGTTATTTGATGGTTCGAAATGAAGGTAGAAGATCCAGGCAGCTCTAATGTTTGAGTCCTCATTGATATGGGATATACGACCCCCAGAAACGTCTTAAGCTCTTTTTGAAACCAGTTGCCTTATTAAGCTTACATATACATGAAAGTTTTAGGCATTAATGCCACACTGAGTTAACACTGAATCAAAAATCAATCGGTTAGAACTAGAACACCCATCGCGAACTTGAAAGAAGCTATTCAAGAATACTCACCGCTTAAAAACAAGCACAGGAGAGTAACAATCCACATCACTTATCCCAATTTGCGCTCAAATCTTGTGATCTTTCACAGCTTTAAGTGTAAATATGTAAACATATGGCCACTGACTTCAGTGTGTCAACTTTGCCAAGATCAAAATTCAAATGAAAGTGGAATAAAATTTAAACCAATGAACAGGAACGATGATGATCGAGAATTTGTTTATTCATATTAAAACGTGGTGACCTAGGTTACAATTGAAATTGAAATTGAACTCCAGGTACTTGAACTCGACCAAGAATTTGTCAAGATAATGAAGATTATGCTAATGTCGTTGTATTAGTCTTCCGTTTTCAGTTGATTTTATGACTTAAGAACATTGTTGAAATTTCAAAATTTACGCGGTGTTCCTAATTGTAATTGCATTGCAAGAAGACGGAAAAGCAATTTAATTTTGCGCCTAAAGAAAGCACTTCTTGTTTCTTTTCAGTTTTTGGATAGTTCGATTTTCGTCTAGTAACTGGAACAGTATCGAAGTGTTTTAGCGAGTCCATTCTAAGCTCTTAAAGAATTTGTTTAATTACCGCGAGTATGGGCGCCAGGTTCATAATTCTTTCAACTTGTCAAGTATGTGTCAAATTTTTGCGGTGGTGTGTGATGCTTACCATTCAAAAGGTAAACAGTCTCCCTTCATGTTGTTTTAATTTAAGGTTAATCAAGCAAACAAGTGATAAGAATGGAGAAAGATATCAATTTGGGGATTGTAAGTCGATCCACTATCAAATTCTCAAAACTAACATTGCGAGAAATGTATGGCAGACAGTGAGGAGAATTTTTAATGAGATCTTGAGAGTTAAAGGGTTAAAGGAGAGAATTGAAAGGTTAGTTATGTTTTATCTGTCTGTTATAGCAAAAAATAAGTAGAAGTTCAGTACGGTAATCAACTCGCGGCAAACAAGACGATTAAGAATTCTAGAGAAGAAGAGGAGTTACAAAATTGTAAGAGGATGTGTAACCTCAATTTCTCAAGATCAGCAATGCACACGTTGATCTTTGTTGTTATTTTACCGTTGTACTTCAAGATTTGTTAGATTCCTTGCGTAATTTAGCCTGCGCACAGAAGGGTATAGAGCATTGCGGAAGAAAATTATTATAAACAAAAAGAAATCCCTCGTCATGTGGCGAAGTCTCCGTGGCGCAATCGGTTTGCGCGTTCGGCTGTTAACTCATTGTAAGTTTGACAAAAAAGACTAAACGTCATGAACAGGCTACCGCTAAAAAGGACATGCTAGAGGCACAAGCAAAAGCAATGGTACTTGATGAGAAACTGAGAGAAGCAAGGAACGGCTTAAAGGATTACAAACTCTTCCGCCAAGTTTTAGAGTGACGAGAGAATGTCTGAGAGCACAGAGAGTGGCTCTGACGAGCTTTCTGAGGGAGATGAAACGTAAAAAACAGGGCAATGCATTTCTGTTGTGGATGGCTATTCACAGTAGTCAGACTCAAAAAGTATAACTGCAGGTCTCGTCTGTTGTTGGCCCCCCCCTCCCCCTTTGTTAAACAACTTGAGTTTACTAAGGGTATGTTGGCCTCTAGAGGAAAACCTTGGCTATAAGTTTGACACCAAGCGAAAGGGCTAACAAAGGCGTTTGTGATCAGTTTCCCCGTCTGAGCTTCCTTTTTTAGGTAGTGTGAACGAAGGGTTCTAGCTTAGAAAAGATATCCCATCTGAGAAGATTAGCACGAAAACTCGCCAACCTGTTAAAGAGTAAGAACACCCATAGCAACTCGTGGCCTGAAGAGGATATCTTGAGTAATGGAGACCAAGCATCTAAACGGGGTCACTATGCAACCCAAACGCTTTTAATTCGAGGTGCAATTGTCCAAAAAATTGTTTCAAGTAATCTAAGATGAGCTGCAATAATTCAATGGTTTCAGGACTTTTTGAGACTGTTGAAGGGTGTTAATTTGTCGCAGCTTTGCTCAAAAAAGATTGATTCACTTACAATTATTAGTTTAAGACATATCAAAAAACAAAAAAACCCAAGTGAATTTAGAATTCCTTCTCCGAGCCTATACTAAGTAACAAATGAGGCTAGGTAAGTGTTAAAATCCAAAATCTTTAGCACAGGAAATGTTTCCAGGTTGTTAATTTACAAGAAATTGAACGAGTACTGAACAAATAGTGGTCGCACCGAAACATCTTTGAGTGACTCACCAGTACTTCTCACACCGAAACTTGAATAACTTGTTTTCTGGCCTTTTTAAGATTCATAAGACTTATATGTACTAGAGGGTTGTTCAATACCAGGGCTTGATACAAGTCGTCTAATGTATTCACGAGTCGAACGATCCGTAAGAGTCGTCTTATGTGTCACGACTCGTACGATTCGTCAAACCATGAATATTCATTAAGGAAACGATGGAAACGAAACGAGTCGTAAGGCTCTACTGTCTATCCATGAATGTCATTAGGGAGACTACACGATTTAAAGGAGCGTGGGCGGAGTTGATATGCCAGGCTTCCAAACAAAGGCGCTGGTGGTAACGTCGATTAGTGGTGAAAATTTTAGAATTGTCCCACCCAACTGCATGGTTAGTTAGGCATGTGTGCTCCGATAAACACTGTAACTCCTCAGTTACATTCGTTAAATCTTTAAACCAGAGTAGCATCAA